GAGGCTGCGATGGAGTTTGGCAGGAGAGAGGTTCTGGGGAAACCCCTTAAGCGCTCCTGCCCCTCTCAGGCCTGCAGCCACCTCCCCTTTCCCAAGCCCTTCAGGGGTCAGGACAGACACTGGTTCAGCCACAAGCCCAGTGCCTGAAAGGCAGAAACTGGACTCACACTAGACAGACCCCAATATGCGTGCGTGAACACGCGCGCGCACACACACACACACACACACACACACACGATGGGGTGGGGACAGGGCTCACAAAGCCTTACACAGGATGAGGGGTTGGTGGGAGGGTTAGCACCTCATGCTCCATCTCCTGCTCACCACCTTCCTCTAATCTGAGCTGCAGCCCAGCTGAGATCCTCCCATCTCTTAAGTTGAATGTCAAATAGTGCCAAATGCCAGGGCAAGAGCAGAGACTCCTCTGTCTTATCTCTGGCTGCCAGTGTCCCCCCAAGTGCCCCTCACCCTGCCAGGTGCTCATTGTAACCATTTCTCACTAGTGTCGGGCCCCCACTGGGTCCACATGCCACTGCCTGCACCCCTCAGCAGAGGAACCCCCCACAGGACATTGCCCTTTGCCTTAGCAGGGGTGACTTGGTCTCTCCTGGCTGGGCCATCCCACCCTCAATCCAGCCCTTACACTCAGGCCTTCGCCCAATCCCTGTCCCATTCCCACTCACACACACACACACACACACACTCTGCCCCCAGGAGGCCAAACTGCCCCTCCCCTGCTAAATACACACTTGCACACACATACTGCACACACGGAAGCTGGGCCCAGGCACATCTCTTCACACTATTCATTTTGGTCATTTCCCCAAAAGGCATCCCAGTTTGGGGGTCAGTGAGGGACTGAGGGCAGGGGGATATGGCCATGGGGCTCAGATGGACTGGGAGGAGGGGGGGAGGGTGATGCATTAATTAATGGCTCCGTTAATTAATGTCATGTTGCTTGTCGCTTTCTCAGTGTGTGTGTATGGTCCATGCCCGCTGCTGGTGTCAGGGTGGGTACCCATGCCGTGCACCCAGCCTGGTTGCCAGCCGTGTCCTGCGGGGGCGTGTGTGTAACTGTAGTGTAGTCAGGTGCTCAATGGAGAACATAAAAATAAAAAAGAAACATATACAGAAAAATAAATATATATTTTAAGTTTAAAAGCAGACAAAACAATCCCATCAGATAGCTGTCCAACCCCTAGCTGGGTCTGATCCTTCTCATAGCCCACCCGACCTGGCTGCCCACTCACCTCGGGCTTGGAGGATCTGTGGGGTCTGGGGGACCATTTCCTTTTCTCTGCCCTTTTTTTTTTTTTTTTTTGGCTCTATTTTGTACAGATAAGTCAGAAAAACAACAGCGACAAAAAAGACAAGAAACTTTGTAAAATATCGTGTGTGTGATTCCTTGTAAAATATTTTCAAATGGTTTATTACAGAAGATCAGTTATTAAATAATGTTCATATTTTCACTTCAAACAGTTCCCATCCATTGTGTCTGCCCAATATTAGGGATGCGTTGCAATGACGACAGGTGGTCTTGATCTCAGAGTCCCATCTACTACTCACCTGGGCATGAATGCCACTGTAATTAATCCAGGCCCCAGGTGGGCATGGGACAAAATTCTTAAAAAAAAAAAGAAAAAAAAGCCTCCCAGAGGCTCAGGACCGGATCTCTGGAAGGAGGAAGACAGAGATGAAATGCAGGTTTGAAGAAGAGAGTTTGTAGGAGATTGGGGTCTGGCCCACCCACAACTACAGCTGCAGCCACCTCTGGCCCAGGGAAGGCCCAGGCCTGGACCTGTCTCATGGCTACCATTGTGCCCAGTAGAGCCCAACTCCCAGTCAGTATTGCAAAATCTTCTTGGGCTTCACTATTCAGGGCCAAATGTGCCTATGCCCTGGTTCATTTTAAACCTAACCCTCTTAATAACCAGTCCTTGTCGTTGTGGAAAGAGCTCTGGTGGCACAGTGCCTAAGGTACTTTACTGCTAACCAGAAACTTGGTAGTTCAAACCCATCAGGCACTCTGCAAAAGGAAGATGAGGCAATCTCCTTCCGTAAAGATTTACTGCTTTGGAAATCCAATGGGGATCACTATGAGTCAGAATCAACTCAATAACCGTTGGGTTTTGGTTTTTGTTTTACTCATTGTGTCCTTTGCATTCTTTTCAAGGGGAGAGAATTATAACCACCAGGGCTGAGGTTTCCCTCTGTCTCTAGTTCCCTTCCTACAATACATTCGGTGCAGGGGACGCTGCTCATTCCACAGTTACCCCCCAGGCCTTTGGCCTTCCAGCTGAGCGCTCACCACCACCTTGTTGTTGTTAGCTGCCTGCCACTGGGTCAGCCCTGACTCAGGGCGATCCTGTGTGTAGCAGGGTAGGACTGTGCTCCAGAGTTTTCAGTGGCTTATTGTTTGGAAGTAGATCACCAGCCCTTTTTCCAAGCCACCTTAGTGGTAGGTATTTCCCCAATCTGCAGATGAGAGAACTGAGACTTTAGAGGAGAAATCCATTCTCCCGAGGTGGGTAGGGTAAGAAATCAACAAGTGTTTCAGAGAGGAGTTGGCCGTTGGGAGAAGGACGTTCGATACTAATAAATGGAAGGCATTTCAGGCCTCTGCAAAGGCATGGAGCTTTCCTCACTTCCCTGTAGGCAACCCCCAAGACAGCCTCCATGACCCCCAACAGCAGTCCTAGAGTAGAACTGCTAGATAAATACAGAACATCAAGTCAAATTTGATGTTTGGATCGACAATAATTTTTTTAGTATAAGTGTAATATGGTAGAAGTAGAGGTCCTCATCTAACTTCATGGAGTGGGGAGGAAAATCACTACCACCATCCCCCCAAAGCTGGTAACTCCACCTTCCAACCTTTTTACCAATTCTAACACCAGCCATTCCTCCCACAGTACTCACTCCTCTGCTGGGCTTGATAATTGGTTGTAATGGTGACCCAGAACTCACAGACCATACTCATCATTATGGGATTTATGAGGGAAGTAACAGGTTACAATTCAGGATCAGGATCAATTTAGAAATAACAGGAACAACTCATGATACAGTTCTTTGATCAGGAGAGCTTATTCTTGGCAACACCCACAGGCAGTTCCCGCTCAGGCCTGACCTTTGCCCTGCTCAGGCAAGTGTTCTTGCTCACCAATAAGTGCCTGGAAGTACCCCACTTTGCCAGGAAGCCTCCTGCCTGAAGACACTCAGCTCTCTGGCTCCATGGGTCAGTGAAACCAGTGCAGCCACTTGCCAGTCCCACGCTGCTACCTTTTAGTGCTGCTGCCACCTCCAATGTTACCACTGTCCAGTGTTATTACAGCTGTCTCCTGGGTCTAGAGAGTTCTCAGTACAGGGACCATAAGTCCAAAGGACACACTCTGCTCCCAGCTGCTCTTCTTGATGGTAGTGAGGTCCCCCATCAACCTCTGGGACTGTTTCTTTTTAAGCCTAGTGGGATGGCAAAACTGACCAATCCCCTTGGTGGGTCACAAGCACCTTATTTGCATAGTCCCAGCCAATAATTTAATGGGAGTTACAAGACCATGGCTAGAAAGTGATATAAAAGCAAGTCATTGCATCTCAATAAGTAGATTTCAAATAGAGAGCCTTGGTGGTACAATAGTTAAGCACTCAGCTGCTAAAAGACTGGCAGTTCAAACCCACCCAGTGGCTCTGAGGGAGAAATACCTGGTGATCTGCTTCTGTAAATATTACAGCCTAGAAAATTCTATGAGTCAGTTCTACTCTTGTCACTTTGGGTTGCTATGAGTAGAAGAAAACTGTCTTGCTGGCACCCAACAACATATTTCAACTATTCCATGGGCCATACTTATACTAAAAATTTGGGGATATGCATATACTAAAAAAATACTGTTCATCTGAAATTCAAATTTAACTTGACATCTTGTATTTTGATTTACTAAATCTGGCAAGCCTACTATGGACACCCAGACTTCAGACAAAATAAAAGGTGTCAACACCCTTTATAACCTGGAAGGCTCTGCACATATCAATAGTTGTACTGCAAACAATGGCTGACAAGAGATTCTAAGCTTTATATAAACATTTTGTCATGTAAGTATATGAATTATATGCACGTTTAAAACAAGTTAACTCAGTATACAGAAAATCAGTATGCACACAACACAACCTGCAGTAAGCTACTGGGCGTACCTGGCCCAAGCTTTGTTGGGAGATTTCTCCTCCTCACCAGCAATCATTAGTCTCTGGTGGGGAGGAACTGAAGACAGCTCCTCCTCATTCTTTCAGAGTCGGAGACAGGGGACCTGAGTTCCTGTCCTAGCTCTATCTCAAGTGGAGCCGGGGCAGTACACTCTACTGCATTTTATACCCTTGTTCCATCAAGGTAGGAAGCACCTGTCATTATCTCCATTTTACGGACCAAGAACCCGAGTTTTCAAAAAGTTCAGGAACTTAGCCAAGGTCACAAAGCTATCAAGTGGCAAAACAAGGCTTCCAACTTAGGACAGGCACCATACACCAGACCTCCATGGTTATGGGAATTCACCCACCCTTACACACACCAGGATCATACGCAATCCTCACCCATACTCCTGCCCACAGAGACACCCATTCAGATGTTCATGCACAAATAGAGCCGTTGTGGCTCTTCCTAGGGAACTGACAAATGTGTGGCATTGGGTTTTGCTGCTGGTGTTACCCACTGCTTTCGCGAGATCCACCTGTTCGCTCACCCTCACCTACCTCCCGAGAATCTAAGATAACGGCCCTGAAAACTACAAATTCCGGCACACAGTCTTCTCATCACCAACCGGAGCGTCTGAGCGCATGGCCTCCTGGTCTACTCAGACACACACACACACACACACGCGCGCGCGCGCGCGCGCGCGCGCGCGCGCGCAGTTCCGCTTGTCCCGGGACTCCACTTCCCAGCATGCAGCGGAGCCGGAAGAACAGCGCTCAGCGGGCATCCCGCCTTCGCTAGGGCGCGCAAGCGCAGTACCACTGTTTGTCGGCCCCTGAAAAGGGAGGAGGCACTGTCGAAGTCAAGACCGAGGCCGATCCGGAACTCACTGGACTCAATTCGGGCTCAGAACAAGGCGTCAGTCCCGCGAGCGGACCGATGGCCTCCACCTAGATGGAGGAGACCGAGCCCTGACATCAACGACGGCCGAGTCGGCCTGGCGCAAGGTCCACAGGAAGGGCAGGCAGGCGGGCGTAAGCCGACCAGGGCCTTCCCTCAGGTTCCGGGCAAGGGGCCTAAGCCCCGGCCCCGCAACCAGGTTCGGCTCCGCTCTCGGGATCCGTACCCGACCCGACCGGAAGTGGAGCATTCACCAGGGCCATAGTCCAGTGACTAGGCCGGGGCCGGGCCTCCCGTCGGGGCCGGACTGCAACGAGGCCCCGGGGAGGCCCCTAGCCCACCAGACCTTCCCCCAAAGCCGGCGCCTGCCGCGAAGATGCAGCGCGCCCTACCGGGCGCCCGCCAGCACTTGGGGGCCATCCTGGCCAGCGCCAGCGTGGTAGTGAAGGCCCTGTGCGCGACGGTGCTGTTCCTCTACTTGTTGTCCTTCGCCGTGGATACAGGTTGCCTGGCGGTCACCCCAGGCTACCTCTTTCCTCCCAACTTCTGGATCTGGACCTTGGCCACTCATGGGTTAATGGAACAGCACGTGTGGGACGTGGCCATCAGCTTGGCTACAGTGGTGGTGGCCGGGCGTTTGTTAGAACCTCTCTGGGGGGCCTTGGAGCTGCTTATCTTCTTCTCAGTAGTGAATGTGTCTGTGGGGCTGCTGGGGGCCTTCGCCTATCTCCTCACCTACATGGCTTCCTTCAACTTGGTCTACCTGTTCACCGTCCGCATCCATGGCACCCTGGGCTTCCTAGGTGGTGTCCTGGTGGCGCTCAAGCAAACCATGGGAGACTGCGTGGTGCTGCGAGTGCCCCAGGTGCGCGTTAGCGTGGTGCCCATGCTGCTGCTGGCGCTGCTGCTGCTACTGCGGCTCGCCACACTGCTCCAGAGCCCAGCACTGGCCTCCTACGGCTTTGGGCTGCTCTCCAGTTGGATCTATCTTCGGTTCTACCAGCGCCACAGCCGGGGCCGAGGGGACATGGCCGACCACTTTGCTTTTGCCACCTTCTTCCCCGAGATCCTCCAGCCTGTGGTGGGACTGTTGGCGAACTTGGTGCATGGCCTCCTGGTGAAAATAAAGATATGCCAGAAGACAGTGAAACGCTATGATGTGGGTGCCCCGTCCTCCATCACAATCAGCCTCCCAGGCACAGACCCTCAGGATGCAGAGCGAAGAAGGTACTGTGGAATCCCCCGAAACCTTGTCAAGAGAATATTTATTGGTCAAGTCACCTTCAGTCTGTAGAGATGCAGTCTGTGTGTATGCTGCTGGCCCTGGGACAGATTCAGAAAGGGATAAAGTCCAGTCTTTGGCCTTAAGAAATTCAGCATTTAGGTGTCTGGGTTTCGATAGGTGCTTTCCAACATGAGAGAGTGAAAATAGCTTTTCTCACCACTTAGGCCATTTAACAAGCCTCCAGAAATGCCCAGTTTTCTCTGGTGCTGTGTGAGGGGCTAATGGAGAGCCAGGTAAACATAATCCTGGTCTTCTCTCCATGGCCTTGTCACCAAATCTTGGAATCCCAGACATGCGTCCTGCAGGAGTCAGAGATAACCTGTTGGTCCCTTCTTCCCTGTGTGGGAAGGACAGGCAAGGAGTTTTGGGGTCCATAAGAGGCTGTTTGGGCCACTCTGATTTCCAAATTTCCTGGGCCTCAACTCAGATTTTGTGCTTCTCTGCAACCTATTTATTGCAAGAGGAGCTTAGAGTACTACCTCCTCTGGCAGACGTGTGTCACCAACCGCAAGGGATGGGGGACCACATGACCCACCAGGGAATAGAGGATGACCCTTTTGTTATCTGTAGACCAAGCTGTCCACACCATCAGGAGTCCAGCCGAATTGTTGGCCAGGGCACGACAGATCTGTTTTAATATCGCTCTGACTCTCCCAGCTGTGTGGACTCACCAGAGCAGCCACAGGTCCACAGCTCTATTTCTACCATCATTCTTGAGTTTTTTGAAGCAATTATTTGTGGTGGTGGTGGTGTTATGTGCTGTCAAGTCGGACCTGACTCATAGCGACCCCTCCTTGGGTTTCCAAGGCAGTATCACTACAGAAGTAGATTGCCCCATCTTCTTTCTGAGGAGTGGCTGGTGGGTTTGAAGCACCAGCCTTCTGGTTAACAGTCAGGTGCCTTAGGCACTATGCTACCAGAGCTCCCAGGCAGTTACTTAGGCAGTAAAATCTGAGGCGGGTTCTGTTCCAATTTGCTGCATTTGTCAAAGGCTCCTGCTGCTTCTGCTCACCTGTAAAATGGGTTCTCGGCAGGAATTCTTGAATTCAGCTGAACAGGTATCCCTGGCTTACTTTTCACTGGGGAGAGGGGCTATGGAGTTGAGCGTGGGAAACATCCCTTTCTTGAATAAGTTTTTAGGTTGGGTGAAAGAGTGACATAAGGCCACAGATGACTGTGGTCCAGGGTGGTGGGTGTTGAAAAGTACACAGCATGCTGCAGGACATAATTTTGGGCCCTACAGCTTGTCTCTACAGCTGATGAGTCCTAAAGACAGAATAATGTCTTAACCTTGTCACATGGTAGAAGTGGGGGAAGGCTGGGGCTGGTAAGAACTAAGCTGCCATCTGAGTTCTTCAGATGAGGCTAGACCTTAGTGGGGACTCCTCTACCAGTGAGACCAGTAGCTAAACTTTCCAAAAACCTCTGCCTTGGCCCCAAGAAAATGGACAGAGGGAGGCAGGTTGCAAAGAGGGGGCCGAGTAAAGGTGGCAACTTCTCGGTATAACCTTGTGGTCGTGAGCTCACACAGTGGGTGGGAGTCTGCTCCTCCAACCAGCTTGACATCTGACTGCATGCCACCTCCAGACCCAAAGGGCTACTAGCAGAGAGTTCCTGTGTGTCTCTTTGACTCTTGTGAGGAAGTGACTGCCCTGCCACCACTTCTGCTTTGGTGAGCTTTAGACAGATCTAGCGAGTGCTGCTCTGGGTTGGGGGCCTGGGTAGCAGCAGGGAAGAACTCTCCTGTCTGTGCCAACTTGCTGTGTGCCAGGTTAGAGGACAGGGTAGAAGCATGCCAGGGCCTTTTGTGCCGATGCCCTTTTTTGCCTCTCCTATCACATTCCCTGCCATGGTGAAGATTGTGTTCTCTGCTGAATCCCAAAAAGACAATGCAGACATCCCCTACACTGATGGTACAGAGTGTCTGGGGCATCAGGGGTTCCCAGTGGCCACTGTTGGAAGTATTACCTGGCAGCATGGACACGCCAGCTTGCGATTCTCCCTAGCTCATGCGTATACTTTTTTCTAGTAAATTTTCCCACCTCCTCCAAAGCGGGCCCTGCGAATCTGCCCTATGGAACATGTAGGCGCTGGCCTGTGCCCTACCAGTGTGGGCTGTTTCTCCTTCCTTTCTTCCTGCAAGGGTCAGGACCCTGCTCTAACACAGGCCCTGATAGTTTTGGGAATTCTTCTGGAAAGATATTAGAGTCAATTAGGAGGGATGGGCTGGCCCAAGGAAGCTGAGATCCAAAACAGGGGCCTCAGTTCCAGCCCCACAGATAGTTGCCAGGAGGCTCAGGACACTACTGACCTAGAGGAGAGAATAACCCTCTCCTTGGATGGGATGAGGGAGCTCTGGTGGCGTAGTGCCTAAGGCACTTGACTGCTGACCAGAAGGCTGGCAGTTCAAACCCACCAGCCACTCCTTGGAAGGAAGGTTGGGCAATCTGCTTCTGTAGTGATACTGCTTCGGAAAAGGAAGGGTTGCTACGAGTCGGATGCGACTCAACGGCAGTGCGTTTTAGTGTGTTGGAAGTGATAACATTGCCCAGACAGAAGCTCACCTCTCCAGGGACTTACCCTTCTATGCATTCACCCTGAGGCACCAGTTTCACATACCTGTAAGTATTCTATTCAGACCCGCTCCATTTATAGAAGGCAGACTCAAAAGCCTTTGGGTCCTAATTGTGATGGGAGAGTGTGGCCCAATCTAATTCCTAGGGATGCTTGGGCCCTGCAATGGGGAAGGGTCACATACAGGATTCTGGGGGAGAAGCCTTGGGTGGGGGAGCCAAGCCCAAACCAAGAGTGACATGTCTTCTTTCTTCTGGCCCCAGGCAACTGGCCCTGAAGGCCCTCAATGAGCGGCTGAAGAGAGTGGAGGACCAGTCTGTCTGGCCCAGTATGGACGACGATGAAGAGGAGGCCAGAGCCAAGGCAGACAGCCCCATGCCATCAGACAAGGCTCCCATATCCCCAGGGAAGGAGGCTGCCCCAGAATCCAGCCTAATCACCTTCGAGGCAATGACCCCAAATCTGTAACTCCAAACCACCCCGAGAGCAGCACTTCCTCTCCCAAGCCCCCCTCACCACCCTCTCAGCTATCCCAGGGCACCAGCTGCTCTGAGGGGAGGGAAGAAGGTCTGCTGGAGGTTTCCACAGCCTTCTGCTGTTTCTCACCAACACTACCCAGGCCTCTTGCTACCTGGTTTCAACTCCAGACAACCACTATGCCAGGCATGGGGCCTCTAAGGCATCAGGAAGCCCAGGCCCCATCTGAGGGAAGACTGTGCCTCAGCAGACAGCCCCAAGCGGGTGCAAGGACATTGGTGCCACAGTTCTTGAGCTGGCCCTCATGCCTAAAACTGGTTGCTAAGAGCCCTGAGCCAAGGCAAAAAAAATGCCAAAAATATTCTAGGGGCACAGCCAGTACAGAAGCCAGCACAGAGCTGCACATCCCTGCCTATCCCCAGAAAGACTGTGTTCATGTCAGGATTTGTTTCCTTCTGCTGTGGCCGTGGCTACTGCTGGGCTGGGACAGCCACAGCTCCCAGGTATTTTCTACAGGACCACTTGAGTGAGCAGCCCAGCCCAGCCTCGCAGTATCAATAAAACAGTTCTTTGAAATGTGGCTCTTGGCCTCTGTCAAACCACCTTGGGCAGCACCCATATCATGCCCAGCTGCAAAATTTGACAGGAACTTGACTCTGAGTTTAAGGGCTCATCTCCTGTGGCAACTCCAGCTGGATAAGGGGCCCCACACCCCAACCACATGCTCACTGCCAAGCAACCTTCCAGGGCTATCACCTCAGACCTGTGCCCTCTATTCTCTTTTTCAGCGACCTCTTGTTAGGGAGGCCCTGTGCCCCTACTCAGGGGATTTGAAGATTGAGGACCTCTGTCATAAGAAGTTGTTCCTACCCCTGGCTCACCTCCATGACAGTGCCCAGTGCTGGCTGGCCCCTACAGGTACAGAAGCTTTCTACAGCCCCCTTCCTATTGTCCATATCTAACCACTGCAGCCTGGAGACTCCAGCACAGTGGGCAGGCTGGGAGACTGACAAGATGCACACTGCCTGCTGCAGCCCTAGCCCTCTTGTATGCTGGGAGAGCTCCCCCCAACCTCAGTGTACAGCCAGGGACAGGGATCCCCATCTTGTCCAGCTTCCTGTTTTCTCATGCTGAATGGATTAGAGAACCATCCCCAACTGTGTGCTGCTCCTCCCATCTAGTCTTTTCAGTCATTTTTATTTAAAATTTTTTTTTCTCCTTGTAATTTCTGGAAATAACCAGTACTGATTTGCTGGGAAGGCAGTCTTGCATCCCCAACTTCATTCAGACATGTGATCCGTATGTTTCTCTGGGACAATGGAGAAAACAGAAGAGGGAGCACTCCAGCATGAAGAACAAAGATGTCACACACTGGTCTCTTCCCACCCCTGACTGTCCCAGTACTTGGGTTGTCCCCTTAGTCAGCTGACAGAACCCAGGAGGTCCTAGCCCCAGCTTATACACTGAGAGGCAAGTCCAGGTTTCCCCTAGTCTAGAAGGGGTTCATGGCTGGATCCTCTTGCGATACAGGTAGGCATTGCTTACCTGGTTCATGATGACAAGGCTGGTAAGGACAGGACATAGCACAGCCAGGTACCAGGCCCCACCAGTGACTGTGGCAGTGAACCACAGTGAGCACATGCCCAGCAAGAGGCTGGCACTACCCAGAAGGTAGCCCACCAGCCCTGAAGTAGCGTGGTACAGCTTGAGCTTGGCCAGGGGCCACCGGGGCAGCAGCTTGGGGTAGAGAAGCCCCACCCCACCTGAGCACTGCAGCCCGGCCCACAGCACAGCCAGCAGCCCTGCCCGTCCATGCCATGTAGCCAAGTGGGCTTTGCTCTGCTGCTCCTTGTGGAGAACAACGAGACCCAGGCCCAGCAGTGCACATAGCAGGGCCAACAGCTGCAGGACCCAGTGGCAGCGTGCTCGACCCTTCCTCGAGAGGGAGCGCAGCAGCGAACTTTCCGGAGAGAACACCAGCAATGCCTCAGTCATCAGGAAAGAGAACTGGGGAGACAGGGAGGAAGACTCAAGTGAGGGTGCTGCCTCAGCAGACAGGAAGAGAGTAAGTTGTCAGCCAACCTGGACTGATTCCCCTTCTTCATTTGTCCCATCTGTCGTCCATTTGGTGGGGCACAAGTGGAGAAGCCAATCTGGGACAGAGTATCTGCCCTAAATAATCAGCAAGTGGTGCCTCTCCACACTAGGGACTATTCTGAAATGTCATCTCTGCTATGTTACCCAGTAAACACAAGGTTTGAGATGTGGCAGTTATAAATGATTCACAAGCTTTGTTTCCTTGACATGGGGCTGGATACAATTTCTTGGCAAGAGCTGGGCACATGGGTGCACTGTTTCAGGGAAAATTAGATGTATCACCATAAATTATAGCCAAAAGGACAAAGATGCGTCCAATTCAGTGAAAAGGGACGCAGGTATATCCAAATGTATTTTCTAAGCTTCTTGCTTACTGGTAGGTTAAGCTTCATTTTATGTTTAAATTTCACTCATTTGCCCTAGGTCTTGAGTATCCTAGTTCAAGGCTGTGATATAGAACACGGGCAGGAGTTGGAGCATGCAGGGGGTAAAAAAAAAAGGTACTAAAGGTTAAGTTCACAAGGTTGCAGAGGCCAAAAAGGCTACCACCCATGCCCAAGCTTCTTCCCATCCCCCAGAACTACCCAGGCCCACTACTTACAGCAAGAGACATAAGCACAGGATGCCAGGAGAATAGGCCTAGAATGAGAAGAGGAGGCCTTGTGAGCCTGAGGCAAGAACCCAGCCATGCCAATCCCTACAGACAGAAATATAAGCAGCCCATCACTCAAAGAGGTGCTGACAAAATGTAAACCCCTGCATACTGCAACAAGCTGACCCCATACCAATTCCCTCTTCCTGACCCCTGCCTGAATATAAGAGTCCATGCTTTGCCACCCCAACTCTCTGGCAGTCTTCCCAGCATCTCCCAGAAAGCAGTCAACTGGAGTACCAAGACAAAGATACTGGGTATAGTGCAGGACTTGGCCAAGCTGACAGAGCCCCTTGCACTCATCTGCACCACCAGTCATCCCTCCAGCACAGAATATCTCTTCAGCTGATTTTTTTCCCAGAAGTCAGGGCCAAGGCTGCCCACTGCCCCTGTTCCCCAGGAAGAGTGGCCCTTTCTTTCCCAGAAATCGATTCTGAATCCTACTTACTGGAGCCAGGCCTGGCAAGCACAGCCACAAAGATGGTGAAGCCCAGGGCCACAAGGTGGGCAGCAGCCCCAGAGGCGGTGCGCAAAGCTTGATAGATGTGCGACTCGGTCTCCACAGTCAAGGCCATGGCCAAGCAGGCCTGTGGCTGTAGCCTGAAAGCATAGTAGAGTGGGCAAGGGTCTCAGGTGCCCGCTGTCCACTCCTCACTGGGGCATGATTAACAGGGCAGGAATGCCTCACCCTCTCACAAGAAAGTAAGGTAGGATGGGGCAGTGCCAAGGCAGGCACCAGGAACAGTCACAATATGCCAGTAGAAGCCTGTGACCTGTCAGCTTGTATCCACACCTGACCTGGCGCTGATCGCTAGCCCACCTTCCAGGTAGGATGCACGAGGCAGTGTAAAACTACAAATCCCAGTAGGCACCACGCCATTGCCGGGCGGGAGCGCCAGTTGGGAGAGCGTGAAGCACTATGGGAATTGTAGTTCACCGTGGCAGCCCACTGTTCCAGTGTGAATCCCTTCACTCACAGTCTCTCCACGTGTCTCTGGCATGCTGCATCTCCATGCTAGGGACTCACCTGCAGCGCCGATCCGACGCAGTGGTTTCCTCTCGAGAAAGTGAAATCCTCGGGGCCCTGCCGCGCTCGCCACCACTATGTCGCGGAGCCCCTTCACTTCCGGGTACAGTTTCCATCCACTCGGGACTTCCTGGGACGAGCCTCCGCGAGCCACGCCTCTGAATCGCGGTGCGCAGGCGCTTTGAGCTGACTGCTTCGCGCTTTTCGAGTTCGCAGGAGCGCGTGAACCCGCAGCCTGGGCCTCCCTGCTGTCTTTAACAGGTGTTTTCCGGAATAGGAGCGTCTTTGCGCGCGAGAGGCTAGAAGCTACGGACCTGGGCCCTACTGGCGTCATGGGCAGCGGCTGTCGCATTGAGTGCATATTCTTCAGCGAGTTCCATCCCACGCTGGGACCCAAGATCACCTATCAGGTGCCACTTGGGCGGGGCTAGGTGGAGAGAGAGACGCTCTCCTGAACTTGGCTGACTGCCAGGACGCAGCGGATACCGGAGATGCACGCTGGCATGTCATTCCTTCATTCGCGGAGATCCATGAACCGAGAGGATTCTCAGACACAGGGATGTGGCTCCCATGTGTCAGAGGAGACATATATTTCGCAGGCAGTGATTGTGGGAAATCAAGCTGTGGGGGCCGAAGGGATGTCCCAGGCTCCAAGAAGGGTGGGGAGATTGGTCTGTGATTATAACTGGGTTATTGAGTTGAAACGTCAGTGGTGGATAGGAAGCTAAGGGAGGGGAGAGTGTTTCAGATAGAGGGAACACCACATGCAAAGCCAGGAGGAGGGCAGGTGCCTCTAGGGTCACTCTGTGCACCCCACCCAGTCCTAAGGTCTGATTAAGAGCCTCTTGCCATTCCCTTTCCCAGGTCCCTGAGGACTTCATCTCCCGGGAGCTGTTTGACACTGTCCAGGTTTACATCATCACCAAGCCAGAGCTGCAGAACAAGCTCATCACCGTGTGAGGCCCCATCTGGGAGACTCCCAAGAAAAGGGGACAGGATTGGGTGAGAACCTGACTCTGTTCCCACCTTTTCCCCCATCTAGCACAGCCATGGAGAAGAAGCTGATCGGCTGCCCCGTTTGCATCGAGCACAAGAAGTACAGCCGCAACGCCCTGCTCTTCAACCTAGGTTTCGTGTGTGATGCCCAGGCCAAGACCTGTGCTCTCGAGCCCATCGTCAAAAAACTGGCTGGCTACCTGACCACACTGGAGGTGTGCTTGGGCAGGCAAAGCTGGGGCAAGTGCTCCCATATCTCTAAAGTCCCCCAGACCTGGGACTGCCAGGCAGCTCTAGACCCTCTAGACAGGATGGGCAGGCAGCCAGCCAGGTGCCCTGGAGTGTGTCCACCATGCTGTCCATTCTCCATCCAGCTAGAGAGCAGTTTTGTGTCCACGGAGGAGAGCAAGCAGAAGCTGGTTCCCATCATGACCATCTTGCTGGAGGAGCTAAATGCCTCAGGCCGGTGTACTCTGCCAATTGGTATGTCCCAGCCTCTGCAAGGACCATGTAGCAGGGGTAGAGAATGGATGGCAAAGTGACAAGAAGAAATGAACCCAATCATAGGGAAGAAGGATAAGACTTATAAACAAATTGGGGGTCAGGAAACAGCCATAGGCTAGGCTGATGATGTCCAGAATCCAATGTGTAATGGAGTGGGGTTAAGGAGCCAGCAGAACCCTCCAGCTGTGCCCCCTGGGTATATCCCTTCACCTCTCTGGACTGTAATCTCTCACTCTATAAAAGGGGAAGGTTGGCCCTTCCTAGGGCCACTACCTGCCTCAAAAGATATAGGGAAGCCTGCAGGGTTATGGATGACCTCTTAGAAAAAAAACGACACCAAGAATGTGGGTGGGGACCCTTGCAGATGAGTCCAACACCATCCACTTGAAGGTGATTGAGCAACGGCCAGACCCTCCTGTGGCCCAGGAGTATGATGTTCCTGTCTTTACTAAGGACAAGGAGGATTTCTTCAATTCACAGTGGGACCTCACTACACAACAGGTATGTCAGCCCTTCCTGGGTATCATCATTTGGGCTGGCCACAGCCCTGGCCTCATCCTACCCACACTGACCCTGCCCTGTCCTGCCCAGATCCTGCCCTACATTGATGGTTTCCGCCACGTCCAGAAAATCTCGGCTGAAGCAGATGTGGAGCTCAACCTGGTGCGCATTGCCATCGAGAACCTGCTGTGAGTAGGTCTAGGATCATGCCCAGGACAAGGTTGCCAGCCAAGGCAGAGCCCAGGGGACTTGGATGTGGAGGCTGGGACGGTATGATTCCATGAAGCTGAACACAGCTGTCTCCCCCAGGTACTACGGCGTTGTGACACTCGTGTCCATCCTTCAGGTAGATGGATCTGGTGAGGTGGAATGTGGCTGGGCCAGGCCGGGGCTGTGAGATCCCCCAAAACCCCTTACTCAGGCCACTGTGCCTCCTGCTACCCTCCAGTACTCCAATGTATACTGCCCGACGCCTAAGGTCCAGGATCTGGTAGATGACAAGTCCCTGCAGGAGGCATGTCTGTCCTACGTGACCAAGCAAGGTAGTGTCCAGAAGACTATGAGCTCTGGGGGAGGCTATCTTGGAGAGGGGAAGGCCAACTGGTAAACTGACTCCTGACACCCACAGGGCACAAGAGGGCCAGTCTCCGGGATGTGTTCCAGCTATACTGCAGCCTGAGCCCTGGGACTACTGTGCGAGACCTCATTGGCCGCCACCCCCAGCAGTTGCAGCACGTTGATGAGCGGTCAGATGGGGATCCCTGGAGCATGAGGGGGTTGTTTGAGGTCAGAGAGATCCTCTGCATCTCTCAGGACTCCCGGATCAGGTGGGAGGCAGGGGATTCCCAGTGACCGGAACCATGTGGCACTGCCAGTACAGGCAAAGCTTCTTGGAGGTGATGGGCTTGGTATCCAATCTGGCCACTGAGATAAAATTGGAAGGGAGATGGCAGGAAAGGATCGGTCTGGCTGGCTGGAAGCCTGGGCAAAGCATCACGCCTCTCTCCCCAACCCCCACCTCAGGAAGCTGATCCAGTTTGGGCTTATGAAGAACCTCATCCGGCGGCTGCAGAAGTACCCTGTGCGGGTGTCTCGGGAGGAGCGGAGCCACCCTGCCCAGCTTTACACAGGCTGCCACAGCTATGATGAGATCTGCTGCAAGACAGGTGGACGCAGACAGGGCAGCTGGGGTGGAGTTGGGGCAGAGTGGCCAGGGTATGTGACCTCATCTCCACCACCTCACCCAGGCATGAGCTACCATGAGCTGGATGAGCGGCTAGAAAATGACCCCAACATTATCATCTGCTGGAAATGAGGCTTGTGGGGGCCGGACAGAGCATACTGCTGTGGCCACTCCCTCCTGCTAAGCCCTGCCTCCTGCCACATCCAGACTTGCTCGAGGTTAACTCTCAGTGTAAATAAATTCATTCATTTCAACCCCTTTATTGAATACAATTTCTGTATCATCCACCCAGGGCTTCAAACCAATTCTTCCAAGTTCAGTCATGGCCAACGAAGCAAAAATGAAGTAAACCCAAATTTGTAAGATGTGGGTGTAGTGGAACTAACTGGAAGAGGAAAAATGACAGGCTGGCACCCTGCTAGAAACTGAATCTGCCTCTTAGAAGACAAGGGCAACGTGCCATAGCAACCAAATCTCTGGATTAGCAGAGGTGTAAACAATAGTGGCCCGCTCAAAGATGGTAGCCAACTGTGCCACTTTGAATGTATGGAGCTCTCCACAGTCCTGGCAATAATCCAGTCTCCTGCATCAGGCTCCTGAAAGGGCTCACTACACCTCTTCCTGGTCTCACATTCTAGGGCTTCAACTCATAATCTTTCCCATTCTGGTTATCATTCCAGTACACCAACATTTTACAAATTCAGACCTGTTTTGATTTTGCTAGATCAGCTATAACTGAACTGGTTCAAAACCCTGCATCCACCAGAGACCCAGCAGTGAATGAAACACAATCCTGCACCTCTCCACCACTCCAGATCGCCACCTGGTGGTCAGGGCCGACAATGGACAAGTAAAACCCAAACCCATTGCCATGGAGTCAAATTCTGACTCATAGGAACCCTATAGAACAGAGCAGAACTGCCCCCATAGCTATGGTTTCCAAGGCTATACATCTTTACCAAAGTAGATTGCCTCATCTTTTTTATGTGGAGCTGCAGGTAAGTCTGAACTACAGACCTTTTGATTAGCAGCCAAACCCTTAGCCACTGTACCACCAGGGCTCCTTCCCAATAATTATGAACTAAAATACGGAGAAATAAACAGTCGAGGGGTTGTGATAGAGTGGGTTGGGACAGGAGCAAGGACTGCTCTGAGTTAGATGGACAAGGAGGGCCTCACTGAAGAGGTGACTTAAGCTAAGCCTTGAAAGAGGAAGAGTTCCAGGTAGAGGTAACAAGTATAAGAGCTCTGATGCAGAAAGCACTTTGGGATGTTGAGGAAGCCAAGACTGGAACACAGGGACAAGGATGAAAAAGGCAAGAAACAAAGTCCCCACGCAGAAGAAGAAAACCAGATCCTGCAGAGCTGTTGGTAAAGCACTTTGGACTTAGCATTCTGAGGGCCAGAGGCAATCAGAGAGGTTTCTTGCAAGTACTATCTTGTGTACACCTTTAAAGGACTCCTGGCTGTTCACGAGGGTCGAGAGTGGAAGTGGGTCCAGTGAAAAGGCTGCTGCAGTTATCCGTGGAAAGTGATGGCATTTCGGAGGTAGATCCAACGAGTTAGGCACGTGAAGTACTGAAATGAGAAAGCCATTATGAGAAACAACCAAATGGACTGAGATGGTGGCGCAGCTGTTGGAGGAGCAGATAGGGGGCAGGATTGCCCCCGAAACCGTGCAGGCTGACTGGACATCCGAAGAGAGAGAGGTCTAGGAAGCAGCGGCCACCGGAGTCTGGAAGTCAGGCGAGGGCCGTTGGTCACAACTGGTTGTAGGGGAGAAAGTTATGGAAGTCCAAATAGGGTTCTTACCTGCAAGCAGTCCTTTGGTCTGGGCCTGGAGGGCTCAGACCTTGCGCAAGTCGCCGGCAGGGGGCGGGGCTCAGTCCACACTGCGCAGGCGCTGAGCTAACTCGTTTCCGTGGCAACGAGGGCCCACGGGACAGCAACCGCTCCACAACTGTCCTGTTCTGAACTTTTGCCCCACCAGAGCCTGTCGTCTCCAAACATAGCCCTGTGTCAGATCCCCCAGTGCCTCAAGTCAGCCGAACCCCAATTTTCCGTTTTCTGCCTGCGGCCCCCGACATGAGCGACTTGGAACTGCTGCTGCCAGGGCAGGCTGATGTGCTGGTTCGGGGTCTGCGCACCTTCCAGCTACGGGAAATGGGCTCCGGAGGGTGAGACAGCCAGGTTGAGAGTTAGTCGGAGTCCCGGGGTCAAAGTTCCTTGTTGAGAAGCTTTGGACTTGGCACTGGGGGAAGGGGTTGCCAGGGTGGAGGAGCCCCCCAGGTGAAGAGAGAAAGCTCTCTGAGATAAGGGTATATAACTCCTGACCCCCGTCTGTCTTCTGGGGATCAAGTTCGCCTTCAGTAGGACCCAGACCCCACCCCCACTCTGACTGCATACCCAAATGCACGCACACTCCCTCTGGGGCAGGTGGAACCAGCAGCATGAGAATTTGGAGAAGCTGAATATGCAGGCTATCTTGGATGCCACAGCCAGCCAGAGCGAGCCCATCCAGGAGCTGCTGGTCACCCATGGGAAGGTATGCAGAAGTCACAGGTAGTGTTCCTATCTTCTTCCTTTGCCAAGCTGACCTCTATAACCCTCAGGAACATGTTGGGTACCTGTTCTCTCTGGTACACCTGTGTTCCCCAAAGGGCAAGGGGTGTGTTACACATTTATTCTGCACTGTTAGGCAGGACCCTGCTACACCAGGCCTGGTGCAGAGCACGGATTGATTAAGAGGACAATCATAGATCCTAGAACAGCTTAGGCTGCAGGGGGAGGGCCAAGTGCTAAAGGTATCCCTGAGTAGACTGTTAGGCTGGAAGGGGTCCCTACTGAAGTGTAGGTGAGGCTTTGACATGGAAGGAGGCAGCCTTCCCAATAGAGGAGTCGGGATTACACCAGGGATCCACCTGGCTAGAGCATGGGCTTCACAGTGGCCGTCGTAGATGACCTAAGATATCACTTAAAGAGGGTTCCCCTGCAAGGAAAATTTGAAACCCACTATTGGGGGGGGGGAGGTTCTGGTGGTGTAGTGCCTAAGGCACTTGACTGCTAACCAGAAGGCTGGCTGTTCAAATCCATCAGCCACTCCTCAGAAGGAAGATTGGGCAATCTACTTCCGCAGTGATACCGCCTCAGAAACCCAAGGAGGGGTCGCTATGAGTCAGATCTGGCTCGACAGCAGTGAGTTTGGTTTTGGTTTTATTTGGGGGAGAGGAAAAGGGCTCTGTGAAAGGCCCTATGGCTTAAGCTAAGACATTCAACAACCTCCAAGAGGGAGGCCTGCATAGGGGGGACAGGGCACAGGGAAAGGGGGAGCAAGGTGACTCCCAGCAACCTGGGGGCAGGGCAGGAGTAAGTCACAGGCAGCACAGGGGATGTCTCCAAAGATGTTAGCAACTGGAGAGATAGGTTTAAGGTTCAGGAGAGAGATCAGGGGGGAAAAAAATGTATTCATGAGGCCTGGGAGATTCTGAAGGTCCAGGGGAATTTAAGGATTTAAGGGGAGCTGGGCTGGGCCAAGCAAGCCAGGGATGATGTGGTTACAAGGCCAAGGCAAGCCTGCCTCATCCCTATCCTTTCCCCAAATCCTTGAAGATTCCAACACTGGTGGAGGAGCTGATCGCAGTGGAGATGTGGAAGCAAAAGGTGTTCCCCACGCTATGCAGGCTGGAGGACTTCAAACCCCAGAACACCTTCCCTATATATATGGTGGTAAGCTGGGCCCCCAGTTCATACCCCCACCCACCTCTTCAGAAGGTCCTGGACTGAAGAGGGCAGCTAGTAGTCCCTAACCATCACTCAGCAGTCCTGACACTGTCCGTGTCTTGGGATGGCAGGTGCATCATGAGGCCTCTATCATCAACCTTCTGGAGACAGTGTTTTTTCACAAGGTGAGGCAAGTGGAAATGAGTCAGTGCCCCAAGCCAAGGCGTGGCAGGAAGGGGGTTGTTTCTTGATGGGGAGAGTGTCAGAGCCAGGCTTCCCTTCCCCCTGCCCCCAGGAGGTGTGTGAGTCAGCAGAGGACACCATATTGGACCTGGTGGACTACTGTCACCGCAAACTGACTCTGCTGGTGGCCCGGAGTGGCCGTGGCCCCCCTGAGGAGGCGGGATCCCAGGACAGCACCCCTATGCAGGTGGGCTGAAGCTCCTTAGGGCTGACAAGGGCTTGGGCCTGAGCTCCCTAAAGTCTGGGCAGGCAGGGAGTGGCTCATCACAAGCACCATGTGGCCCCCCAGGAGCTGCAGAAGCAGGCAGAACTGATGGAATTTGAGATTGCACTGAAAGCCCTCTCGGTTCTGCGCTACATCACGGACTGTGTGGACAGGTGAGCAGCGCTGCTGAGCCTCACACCTAGAGTGGAGAGCAGGGAGGTTAGGCCTGTAGCCTCTGCTCACCTCCCTCTATACCCCCTGCCTCTAGCCTTTCCCTGAGCACTCTGAGTCGCATGCTCAGCACCCACAATCTGCCCTGCCTCCTGGTGGAACTGCTAGAGCACAGTCCCTGGAGCCGGCAAGAAGGAGGTAAGGGCCTCCCTGACCTGTCTAAAGCCTGACCCACTGTTTCTAGGGCATTCTCTAGGATTAGCAGTAATTGGTAGTTTGTACACAAGCAGACAAACCCTGCCCACCCCCCCAGCCCACAGAGGATACCAGGATGCCTCACCCAGGGTGGCCCTGGACCTGGGCGCTATAGCAAGCAAGACCTATGTGCCCATTACTGAGATCTCAGCCTGTTCTTGGGCCAGCAGCACTCAACCTGGGCAAGTCCTATGACCCAATGTCTCCCTAACACACCTGAGTAGTGGTCGGTACCCTAACCTCCACAAGTGGTTCACTCAAAGAGCACTCTACACCTATACTCAGTGTACTGGTCTCTTCAGGAAAGCTGCAGAGATTCGAGGGTGGCCGTTGGCAGACTGTGGCACCCTCAGAGCAGCAAAAGCTAAGCAAGCTGGACGGGCAGGTGTGGATCGCCCTGTACAACCTGTTGCTAAGCCCCACGGCCCAGGCCCGATACTGCCTCACAAGCTTTGCTAAGGGTCAGTTGCTCAAGGTGAGGAGTGGCCCCAGGCTCCCTCATGCCAGTGTCCACAGACCAGCACTGGGCTCCATGGGCACCCACAAGCACCCTCAGTCCAGCCTAGCCCTGGGGCCAGCACCTGCCTCACACTGTTTTCCCCTGGATACCCTTGCAGCTTCGGGCCTTCCTCACAGACACACTACTTGATCAGTTGCCCAACCTAGCAGACCTGCAGAATTTCCTGGCCCACCTGGCCTTGGCCAAAACTCAGACACCCAAGAAGGACCTGGTGTTGGAACAGGTAGGCACTGGGAAGTTACTCACTCAAGACTACTCCCCACTTTGCCCACTCCTCCCTGCCCCTCTCCACGCCTCTCTTCCCCACCCCCAGATCCCAGAAATCTGGGAGCGGCTGGATAGAGAGAACAGAGGCAAATGGCAGGCTATTGCCAAGCATCAGCTGCGGCATGTGTTCAGCCCCTCAGAGCAGGACCTGCGGCTGCAGGCACGAAGGTGAGGTCTCCTGAGTGGCAGAAGAGGTGGTAGGATGCAGGAGGTATGGGGGGGGAGCTCTCTAGCCCCCACCTGCAAGGCCCAACCAGGCCCTGCCAATCTCTTCCCCAGGTGGGCTGAGACCTATAGGCTGGATGTTCTGGAGGCAGTGGCTCCAGAGCGGCCCCGCTGTGCCTACTGTAGAGCAGAGGCCTCCAAGCGCTGTTCCCGGTGCCAGAACGAGTGGTATTGCTGCAGGTGAGGGAACTCGAAGATCCTGGGACCCTGAGCCCCATCTCCCACAAGGACGCACCCCTCACTGGCCCACCTGCCCACAGGGAATGCCAAGTTAAGCACTGGGAGAAACACGGAAAGGTCTGTATGCTAGCAGCCCAGGGTGACAGAGCCAAGTGAGGGCTGCAGCGGCCAAGGGATTCCACAGGGAGTGCGCCCCTGAACCTCGACATTTCTGCCCAGCCCAAGCCTGTTGGTGGGGCTCCGGGTGGGGAAAGACGCCAGCAGGAGTAAAGCTGCTGACACATCCTCCACCCCCACCCCCCAGAGAAGCGCTCTCCGCTTCCTGCCCCACCCTGGAGGGTAGGCCAACAGACAGTGTTGTCTCAGCAAGCTGGGGCTGGGGACCTGGGCTGTGGGCGGGGACCAGGGCGAGGGCCGGATGTGAGGACCCTCTTCCTCTAGCACAATAAAGCTAGCCTCCAGAAATACACTTTTCTCCGTGTGCCCCATCGTAGTCGTCGTCGTGGGCATAGGGCGGTGGTGTTCAAAGGGATGGAAGGAGGGAAGGCAAGGCGGAGATTCTTTGAGAACTTCCCGCCCCCAGTCACCCCCGGCTCCGCCTGCGGGCGGACACAACCCCTACGCCCAAATTTCCATTGCGCTGCTCCTCTCAGAGCTCTCCCACCGCCCAGTTTAGATCCTAGAGGCGGTGCCGCAGTCCAGTCCCGCCCCGCGGCCCCGCCCGCCCATCGCTCGCGCCCAGTGCTGCTCGCTTGCCGCCCAAAGCCGGCCAAAGTCCGGTCCGAACCGAGTCATGTCTGCCGAGCCTGAGCTTATCGAACTACGGGATCTGGCATCAGCACAGCGCGCCGGCCCGGGCCGCGCCCGCCTAGAGCGCGCCAACGCGCTGCGCATCGCGCCAGGCATCACGCGCAACCCCGCAAGGCAGCTGGCCCCCGGCCGCGGCCACCGCTTCCAGCCCGCTGGGCCCACCACGCACACGTGGTGCGACCTCTGCGGCGACTTCATCTGGGGCGTCGTGCGCAAGGGCCTGCAGTGCGCGCGTGAGTAGCGGCCCCGCGCACGGGCAAGAGCAGAACAGCGCGGCCGAGGGGCAGCGCCATCGCTGTGAGCCAAGTCGCAGCGGAGGGGGGCAGTAGGGACGGCCTCCGCAGACCAGATCCGTTACCTTTGGCCCACTAAGAAAATGAGTGCGGGAAGATAGTTTATCTCCTTGCCATAATTCACCCGCGTCTGGGGCACAGCTGGACAGGGGCAAGTTGCCTGTGAATAACAATGTGCTGATTTCAAGTTCCTTACCTTCTCTTTAAAGTGCCTTGGTCCTTCTTGGAAAAGGCTGTAAGCCCACTGGTCTCTGAACCTGCAGGCCTGCCTCTTCTCAAAGATTCACTCACTGCGTTTCCCCTCCAGAATCCCTGAGGTGAAGGGAATTAAGTGTCCTATGGAAGGGGACCTGGTAAAAGCTGAGGACCGTGGGTGGGACCCCCTGCAAGCAAAACTTTTGCTGAATCTTTGTTCAGCAAACACCTACTTAAGGACCCACTAACCCAGATACTGAAATACAGAAGCTAGCCACATTTCAGCATTGCCTCTGCTGAAATGACAGGCTTGCAGAGGTTGCCCTCCCACTGGCTGCAAAGCTGTTTTCCTCACCTGGGGCAGTTTTACAGCCCTGCCACCCCTTATAACTGGATCTCCCCTCAGAGCCATTCAATCAATTGCTGGGAGATAGGCAAGTAGGCATCGGTGATTTAGTACCATTCCCACATCATTCGGATGTGCAGCCTGTGTCCAGGGTTAAACGTAGAGGTGGTGTCCTATCCAGTGTGTGCATGGAGACTATCTGACCCAGTTCTTAAGTCTGTCCCATACTCAGCAGGGAGAAGCAGAGAGTTGTGATTGAATACAAAGCAAGAACAAGTACTGGAGACACTACAGTATTCCCAAGAAGGTACAAAGTGGCCATGAAGATGAGAAATAGGACAATTTGGGTGTGTTTCAGAAGACAGAGAAAGGAAGGAATCAAGAATGAGTTGGAATTTTGCCTCAAATAAAGAGGAAGACTGGGGAATGGTGGCTATTTTTTATTAAGATGAGGAACCCTGGTAGGATAGGTGTGAAGTGGAGGCAAAGTTAAATTTTGGTGTTCTTGATTTGAAATGTTTGTTATATATTCAAGCGAAGATACTAACACACAGGATTTTATCTGAGGGTAGAAATTAGAGCTGGAGCCTTGGATCCGGGAGACAAAGCAAACGGATGAAACAAGGGTAGGTGAGTGTAGAAAGAACAGAATCAAGACTGCGCCCCAGACACTCTGCCATTAACAGATGGGGGAGTTAAGGTGGAACCAGCAAAGGAGCTGAGCAGAAGCTGCAGGAAGGTAGGCGTGTAAGCACCTGAAGCCAAGAGAAACAAGTGTCACATGATGCAGTAGAGGTGGAGAATGAACTGCTAGATTTGGCAGCACAAAGGTTGCTGACAGCCCTGGCTAGGGCATTGTTGCGGAGGGGCAAGTCTTACTGGAGTGGATGGGTGGAAGGCAAGGAATTGAGTGTATTCAAAGCAATGTTGATAAGTTATGGTGTAAGGGGAGAAGAAATAAGTGACAACTAGAGGGACAAGTGACAACGTGAGTTAAAGGTTTTCGTTTTACCTTTAAGTAAATGACAGGGGAAACTAACAATCTAGAAAGGAAGAAATCCTGCGCTAGGCTCTATAGATCCGACTGTTAAACAGGCCTGGGTCCCTAACCGTTGCTTGAGGTCTTCCAACCAGTTTTCAGACGACCAGAGATCGGTATCAGTCTGTGTAACTGGACGACTAAAGAGTCCGGAGAAAACACCGGTCATGCGGGGCCCGCAGGCACAGGCCTTCACCTTGGGACTTCCCTTCTGTCCCGAGACGCTTTCGCGAGCTGGAGCTGGGAAACCTCCGCCTCACGACCCGGCCTTTCCGCAGACTGCAAGTTCACCTGCCACTACCGTTGCCGCGCACTCGTCTGTCTGGACTGCTGCGGACCCCGAGACCTGGACTGGGAGCCAGCGCTAGTGCGGGACACGAACGTGGTGAGAGGGGTCGGGGGCGTGCGGGCGGGACAGAATCGGAGGACGGGCCACAGCGCAGGTGTCCCCAGCTGCCGCCCCGGCACTGCGCACAATGAGAGTTCTAATAGCAGTTTTCGCCGAGGCCAACGTAGCTAATTTTGTGTGCGAGGTCCGCGCGGAACTCACAGGCCGGAAGCCGACCGCAGCAGACGCCGCACAGCCTAAGCTCTGCGCACGCGCATTGTCCGCACTTTGCCTCACTCGCATCCGGTCCAGAGGCCACGCGGGTGCACATGCGCACACGGCCACACTCCGACACGTCCCCTACGGGAAGTGGGTTTGCTAGATGAAGCGTGTGTTAAGCTGCTTGGGCGATGAGGTCATTCCTGGAAGTGAGGCGTGTGTGACCCCGCCCCTCGGTGTTCCTTCCCCAATGAGACAAGAGCTGGCTCCCGGCTGTCTACGTTTCAGTCTTAACGGTTGTGGCCGCGGACACTGGTGGTCTTAGCTCACGGGCCTACGTGCGCACGCACGCGCGCCCAACTCGGCGGTTGGCGGCTTCGGGCGCACGCGACCGGGGGACCGGGCGGGCGGGCGCGGCGATGGGCGAAGCGGACGCGGGCACGCCTTCTTTCGAGATGACTTGGAGCAGCACGACTAGCAGCGGCTACTGTAGCCAGGAGGACTCGGACTCCGAGCTCGAGCAGTACTTCACGGCGCGCACCTCACTGGCGCGCAGGCCACGACGGGACCAGGTGGGGGCCGGGGGCTGCCGGCGGCGGGCAGGGGGCGGCAGTTGGGACCCTGCCTCTCCGCGGTATGTTATCATGTGAGTTGGTGGACAGCCTCTTTTATCTGTTACAATACCCCCTGCCCCGGCCGGGGGACGACTCGCTCAACAGTGTGTGCGGCTTACAGCTCACTGTTCCAGCCCCTCGGTACCAGGGAGGCCGGTTGAACCGGGGAAAGCAGCTACGTGGCTTGGGGTCAACCAGGAATGGTCATTATTCACCCATGACTAAAGCCGACTGCGCAGTCTGCTAGCACCTCGATTTTCTCCTTCGGGCTCTCCCACCCCCTCCCTGGGGGACCTATTGGAGGAAGTGGAGGGGAGGAGCCCTCGCCCGGAGTCTGGAGTTGTGTTGAGGAAGAGGGAGAGGCAAGGAAGTTCCAGTCCGTTCATTAGTACTCGTATGTGTAGTGAGCTGAGCCCCCACCTCTTACCTGTCCTGGCCAGTCACTTGCTGCTGGAATGTGGAGGATTCTAATCCCTCTCTGGGGTGACGTAGAGAAAGGGATTTTGGGAATAGATCAAAGGAAGCCTTGCTTTGGACCGAAAACATCAAGGAGCACTTTACTCTTCTTACTTGCAAGAGGTTTACCCATCTCCATTGAAAAATGTCATGAGAGGGTTTAGGAGAAATCAGGATTACTAATCCAGAACTGTAACATGGGAAGGTTCCTGAGGTTAATGTCAGAGGAGCTGAGCCTCTCAAAGTCTTATTGTATTGGGTGTCCTCAAGCTGCTGATTCTGACTCATGGCGGCCTCATGTTACAGAGTAGAACTGCCTGGTGGGGTTTTCTTGGCTGTAATCTTTATGGAAGCAGTTTGCCAGGTTTTTCTCCCTCAGAGCCTCTGGGTGGGTTTGAACTGCCAACTTTTTGGTTAGTAGCTGAACACTTAACCATCATGTCACAAGGTGTTTCCATTATCATAGCCCCATGTGTCATGTGTCAGGATGTTAACTACTGGGCTCAGATAACTGTCCTCACACTGGGACCCTTTGGGGGGGCATCCAGGCCAGGGTGTTAGGAAAGAGATGGGAACCATGAGGCTAAAGAACTGGGGCAGAATCTCTTGTGTGAGCCAGGAAGAGTGGACACCAACTGTAAAAATGGCATGGTGGCAGTGTCAGACCTCCTCATCTAACTTCACAAGGGGGAGAAGAGAGAATCATCATCAGCAACAGCTGCCCAAGACCAATTGCTGTGAAGCGAAGGTCAGAGAGACCACTACTTTCCAACATTTTTACCAATTCTGACATCAGCTGTCCCTCTCACATCACTCTCTACTTCTCTGCTGGGTTAGATAATTCATTGCATTGGCCACACAGAACTCACAGAAAATGCAGTTAATGGGGTTTATTAGGGAACTAACAGGTTACGATTCAGGATCAAGAACCATGAAGGAAGGATACTGTTCTTCGCTGAGGGCAGCCTCTTCTCAGCCAAGCCCATAGGCAGGCCTCTCCCTGGCCCTTGGCCACTTGGCCCAGTCTCTGCCCTGCTCTTTAGCTCTGCCAATAAGTGCCTGGGGGCACCCCACTCCACCAGTAAGCCTCGGCTTCAAGGTGCTCAGCTCTCTTGCTCCGTGGCTCAGTAATACCCACTGTAACCACCTTGTTTTGTCATTCAGGAAGCCCACTGTTCTGTTTCTTGCTGGTCTCCTTGTCCTGCTGCCTCTGTTTCTCTGCCACTGCTTCTTTCTGTCTTGCACTGACTCTGGTGTTACAGCTGTGTCTCATGGGTCTAGTAGGTTCTCATCACAGGGACCCTGGGTCCAAAAAAATGCATTATGCTCCTATCTCTTTTTCTTGATAGTAATGATGTTCCCCCTTTCTGGGATGGCTCATTTTAAGCTTAATAGGATGGCAAAACTAATCCCCACTTCAGGGTTCCATATACCTTATTTGTGTGGTCCCACAAGTATGCCATGCACCTTATTTACATTATTTGCAAGCTGTCCAATCTCCTTAGTAGTCCACAAGCACCTTATTTGCATAGCCCCACCCATCATTTGGTGGGTGTTACAGGATCATGGCAAGAAAGGCCACATAAAACCGATCTGTCATGCCACAGATGTTTGCCTGGAGAAGAGGAAAGGCTAGAACTGAGTTCATTGTGGTGACCTGGAAAGGGAAAAAGAGGGAGCAAGGTTTCAAACCATCCCCAGGCTGGCACTCAGAGCTGCCTCAGGGAAGGGGAGTGAGTTGGTACCATCTTTGGGCCCTCTGTTTCTATAAAGGAGCTCTGGCAGTTCAAACCCACCAGCTGCTCCACAGAAGGAAGATGGGGCAGTCTACTTCCATAAAGATTTGCCTCCTTGGAAATCCAGTGGGGGTTGCTGTGAGTCAGAATCAACTCGATGGCAATGAATTTGGTTTTTTCTGTTCTATAAGCAGAATGCTGTTCCTTTTTGCCCCGGCACTACGGTCTGCTCGGTGTTACTCCTTCCCCTAGCCCTAGAGCTTCTCCTGTCTGGGCATTCCTTTCCATCAAGGCACTCCTTCCTGCCCCAAGCCCCCTCCCTGGGCCTGAATAAACACATCTACCCTTTATGGCCATCATCCAGTCCTCATTTTACTCCCCAGACCCCCATTTCCCAAGGATCTCACCATTTGTTCTGACTAACTTGACAAGGTTGCTCATTGTCCCCAACAAAGTTTCTGCTAGATTTTTCACTCCTGGGTGTTCTCCATCTAGGAGACCTTTGGAAAATGGAAAAGAAAACAGAAACACAGGGGCTTCCCATTCCCACCTTTTCCCCAAAACCTTTGTGCAAAAAGGGAGTGAGAGGATGAAAATCAACATCAATGGCCCAAGGCTGATTCCTATGAGGTAGAGGTCAGACAAGCCTCTACCCTTCAATCTTTTTACCAATTCTAACACCAACTGTCTTTCCCATGGCACTCTACTTCTCTGCTGGGTTCAGTAATTCTTTGCAATGACTGTACAGAATATCTGCCTTAAACATTGTACTCTTTTACAGTACTCTTTTAGAGTACAGTTAGAGCAGTGAGTTGATGTTAATAGGGGGAAACAACTCAGAAAAGGTGAAAACAGTTGCACAATTTGAAAAATGTAATCAATGTCATTGAACGTATGTGTAGGAACTGTTGAATTGGTATATGTTTTGCTATGTATATTTTCAAGAGCAAGAGTAAAATAAAATATATAAAAGAAAGAACCCAGTCCCTGGCAGGGAAGGAGCCAAGTGGTACAGCTAAACCTGCAGATAGCAGGGATAGGCACAGCAGTCCACTAGTGTGACAGGTGCTACCAGTAAGCCGTCTGCAAACTTCTGGCAGATTGGAACCTGACCTGAAGCTGCCTTTTGTGCTGATTGGGTCAGGGTTAAATGGCATATCCCAATGGTTTCCTATGTCTGAGACAAACAGGATCAAGCCCAGGTTCTCAGGGATATTTGTGCTTTGTAAGTTGCCCTTCTGCCCACTGGTGGCTGGGCACCTGGTATGTACCAGTCCCCACACCACCTACCATACAGTGGGTCATGGCTCTGTTCTGGGCGGAGAAAGTGGGCTGCCTTCTCCAGAACACACCCTGATCCCACCCAGTTAGGGTGTCAGAATCAGGCTCTACAGTTAAGATGTGGTATTACTTTAAATTCCGGTAGCATAGTGCCTAAGGGACTTGACTGCTAACCAGAAGGCTGGCGATTCAAACCCACCAGCCACTCCTGGGAAAGAAGGTTGGGCAATCTACTTCCTTAGTGATACTGCCTCAGCAACCCAAGGAGGAGTTGCTATGAGTCAGGTCCGATTAGATGGCACATAATAACAACAACAACATTACTTTAAACAAGGATTCTTCCTCAGAGTCCCTTATCTTTTCTTGACCCCTGGCCTTGTGCCTTCAGCTGCCCCTAGTTAGGGATGGAGTCTTTGGCCAAGCCCTGTAGGCATCACCTCTCCTCAGGGACACACCCAAGGCTGAGGAGGCCCCAGGCTGGCAGCAGAGAGGAATCAAATGGTTCTGCCTTTGCTGTCTCCATCCACACACCAGAACCAGGAGCAGTGAAAGGCTCAGGGTAGGCACTGCTGAGTAGCTATGTACATCTGCAACAGGAAGTCAAAGGCAGCTGTGGGATCAAGCCACAGGGCCAGGGATTCTTCATTAGGCCTCAAGCTTAGTTGTCGATTTCCAAGGGCTACCCCAGAGACAGTTTTTCAGGAAGACCCTGGGTAGGCCAAAACAAGCAGGCATCCCAGCCCACCTCCCTGGAGGTGAGGGGTGATAACAGCCCCTCCCTCCAAGAAGCCTCCCTGCTTTTGACATGCATTACAGTAAGATGTGCTCTTCAAGGTCCCCATGTCATGCTGGTGCTCTTCTCTCTTTCAGGATGAGCCTGTGGAGTGGGAGACACCTGACCTTTCTCAGGCTGAGATTGAGCAGAAGATCAAGGAGTACAACAGCCAGATCAATAGCAACCTCTTTATGAGCTTGGTGAGTTGAAGGCCTGGAGCCAGGGAGGTGGTGAGGTGCATGATGCTCACAGTTGAGGTATTCTTGGGTGATACATTTACACCTAGCCTAGCCTCAAGTGGACTGACAATACCCAAGTCTGTTCCACCTTACCTGGGTTCTGCAGTCATGGTCTCAGTCTCTTCCTCTCTTCAGAACAAGGACGGCTCCTACACAGGCTTCATCAAGGTTCAGTTGAAGCTGGTGCGCCCTGTCTCAGTGCCCTCCAGCAAGAAGCCACCCTCCTTGCAGGATGCCCGGCGGAGTCCAGGGCGGGGCACTGCTGTGAGGCGCCGCACCTCCTTCTACCTGCCTAAGGATGCTGTCAAGCACCTTCATGTGCTGTCACGCACAAGGGCACATGAGGTCATCGAGGCCCTGCTGCGCAAGTTCTTGGTGGTTGACGACCCCCGCAAGTTTGCACTCTTTGAGCGGGCTGAGCGCCACGGCCAAGGTGGGCTTTCCACTGCACCCCTCCATCTGTGAGTGTATATGCATGTGCTTGTTCATGCAGGGGCTCCGGAGGCTGGGCCTAACTCTTGACTCACTTCCCCTCCCTTCCCACCTGGCCCCCAGTGTACCTCCGGAAGCTGTTGGACGATGAGCAACCCCTGCGTCTGCGGCTCCTCGCAGGGCCCAGTGAGAAAGCCTTGAGCTTTGTCCTAAAGGAGAATGACTCTGGGGAGGTGAATGTGAGTACACAGTTCTCTTTAGTTTCCTGGATGTCACTAGGAAGGGCTGGTGGGTTGCAGCTACAGTAAGGCTTGGAGAAACAACAGAGCTGGAAGTCAAGCCCTCCAAAGCCTAGAATCTTTCTGGTCCCAAGGCTGCACCTGTGGAGTGGAATTACACTCAGAGGCTGGGCATGACTTACTCCATGGGAGGCTAAGGAACATCTGGTGTGGTTGCCTGTCAGATTACTGCCCTACTTTGTGGGCATCCATCTTCTACACTGAGTGCCATCAGAGATCCCAGGCCATTCAGGCAAGAGCTTGGCATCACAAAACCCCAGCCTATCTTGTGTGACCACGTTATGCTGGTCTCCTCTGAAGAGGGTCTATTGGTTCAGCCCATACCTGCTTCCAGCCTGTGTTCTTCCTCTTGTAGTGGGATGCCTTCAGTATGCCTGAACTGCACAACTTTCTGCGCATCCTGCAGCGAGAGGAGGAGGAACACCTCCGCCAGATCCTGAAGAAGTACTCCTATTGCCGCCAGAAGATACAGGAAGCTCTTCATGCCTGCCCCCTAGGGTGACCTTCTCCATCCCAAAGGGTGGAAGGAGGAGAGTAGGCAGCACCAAGGGCATGCCGTGTGAATGTGACATGGCCTGTGGGGCCTGAGGAGTGAGTGTGCGTGGGAGTTCTCCTCTGTTGGGGATACGAGCCCAGAGAACAAGCTAAGGAGGTGACCTTTTTTGTCCACCAGTGGGTGCAGGAGAGTACGGCTCTACACCCCTTTGTACTTAATGTACTGGGTTATGGTCAGCCAGGGCTGTCCTAGAAAGCTGCTTCAGGCTTGGCAGCAGGAGTAGAATATTCAAGAGGCTCCCTAACTCATGGCTCTGATGTGAGAATCATGGAAACCCTACAAACAGGTCAGGAACATGTTTCCAGGGTGAGGACCCTCATCTGTGGGCAAAGATTGTATATCTTGAGTCTTAGATGGGGTCTCAGGATAATCCTATAGAGCCAAGGATGGGTGCTCAGGATAAAGTAGGCATCGAGGGAGAGTAGGTTCCCTCTAGAGTGCCTTCTGACCCCTCATACACCCTGGGGTCAGTGAATGCTGTTTCACAGTGCAGCAACGATGCCTCAGTGCCTTTGAGGAAGGTGTCCCTGGGCCAGAGTCCATGCAAGTGTGGGTACTGCCCAGATCTGTGCCTTGTTTGCCAACCAAAGCCAGGGTCTCCAGTATTTTTGATGATGTTGTGAATGTGTGTAATGTTTTGTAACCTCAACTGAATGCCTTCTGTCGGGAGAGGGGTGGGGAGTCAGTCATCACAGCCTGGGGCCTAAGAGAATTGACTGAATAAAGATTTGCGAATACTCCTGCTTTTGGACTCTTTATCATGGGCCCACAGCCACAGTTCCTCCTTATGCTAGTAGCTGCCAAGTGTGATGGACAAACTCACAGGGCACCTCTTTTGCCTGGATCTCCACTGGACGGATTTATAAAAGAGTGCCGTACTCAGTCAAGGATATACTCAAAAACAAACCAAACTCACTGCCATGGAGTCAGATTCGACTCATAGTGACCCCTCCCTGGGTTTCCAAAGCAGTATCACTACAGAAGTAGGTTGTCCAATCTTCCTTACCGAGGAGTGGCTGGTGGGTTTGAACCAACAGTCTTCTGGTTAGTGGTAAAATCCCTTAAGCACTATGCCACCAGAGCTCCCTAGTCAAGGATATACTCAGTCATTACTCAGTATCCTGGGGCTCCAGTAGTGATTAGGGCTGAGTATCAGCTGTAAGCCTAGAGAGAAATACACCAAGCTCTGGGGCGCTCCTCTTAATATTGAGCTGCTAATTTTACTTAAACCTGGTTTCTTTACATGCAACAGTGGCTGTCGAAAAGACACGGTTGTAGCAGGTCTTGGCGTAAACATAAGGCTTGGCAAACCCATTCCTTGCTACAGCTGGCCTGGGTTTGGGGGTTCAGTGGTTAACATATTTGGCTACTAACAAAAAGGTTGGCAATTCAAACCCACCACTTGCTCCAGAGGGAAAACATGTGGTAGGCTGCTTCGTAAAGATTACAGCCTTGGAAACCCTATAAATTAATTCTACTCTGTTCTATAGGATCACTATGAACAGAATCGACTTGATGACTGGGTTTGATATTTGGGGGGGGGGGGGGGCAGGTCCGCTGGGCCCGAACTCTGGGAGCAGGAGTGTAGGGGCCACCACACACACCACCGCGAAGAGGTCTTAAGAACACGAAACCTAGGTTGGACCTGCCCCAGACTGGAGAAGCGCAGCTTGCCAAAACCTGGCGTTTCGCAGCGCATTCTGGGATGTGCAGCGTCTGAGGGCCGCCATTGGTGTCGTTCTGCGGACCGACGAGAACGGCAGCTAATCAGAGGGAGCACCGATCGGGGCGTACGGAAGCGGAAGTGAGGTTTCCGTGGAGACGGCCGAGCCAGCGGAAAGCGACGGCGGCACCTGCGAGCGGAGGCCGAAGCAGGGCATGGCGGTGCCGTCGGTTCTGTGAGGGCGGTGCGGCCGCGGGGCCCGCCATGCGCCGGCGGCCCTGACATGGGCGCCAGCGGCTCCAAAGCTCGGGGCCTGTGGCCCTTCGCCTCAGCGGCGGGGGGCGGTGGCCCAGAGGCGCCTGGCGCGGCGGGTGCCGAGCAGGCATTGGTGCGGCCGCGAGGCCGAGCCGTGCCCCCCTTCGTCTTCACGCGCCGCGGGTAAGGGTACGGGCCCTGCTCGGGGTGGACAGGAGGGCGTTCGCACCATTTGGCACTCCCGCCGCCTCACAACCCACACCCAGGTCTGGAAGACTCCATATTTTAAGCCCTTACTGGAGCAACAGATGAAGAAGGATGGGCTGTTGGCTCCTGGTCTTTCTAAAAGGAAGGTCTTCCTAGATGAAGAATGGGCCTGAGTTTTGTCCCTGGGGTTGAGGCAGGCAGGCTTCCCTTCCTGCACTCGCTATAAAGCCAAGATAAGACCTCCAGGAGACCTGGGGGCCTCTTTCATTCCATCCATCCCAATCTGCAATCCTAAAGCTCCTAGCCCCACCCTCTCTTTCCCATTCTTCCTGGGGAGAATGGCCTTCTCTGTTCTGGCTGCTTCCTTTGCCCACAGTGATAGGGCTGGACCTTTGAGGGCAGAAACCCAGAAAGCAGGGGAGGGGCTGGGGAAGAAAGACTCTTACAGGAGTATATTCTCCAGACCTGGAGCACTGACATCCCTAACCAGAGACCCAGACAGGAGCACCAGATTGGTTGCCTTGATGGGCCTGGGGACAGACACTCAGGTGATGATGGAAATTTGAGTAGCTATCAGGGAGATCTAACAATGGCAGGTTGGCTGCACTAACCACCTCCTGCCTTTAGGCTCCCTCCTAGCTCAGGCATCTGCTGTCTCAGGCTTCATCACTGGACCAGCAGTGTCTTATGGAGTGAGATCAACATGCCCAGGCCATCATCCTGCCAACTCTAGAGATCCTGTGCAAGTTGGAGTGGCCTGCCCTTGCTGAACAAAACAGGGGTGAGAATTGGCCTTGGCTGCCTAGACAGTGCTCTGGTGTGGCCTCTCTCTTGAGGTATGACGGAGTAGCACTGCCTACCACTCCACTCCCCACTGCCTTCTAGTAGATCCCCTTCCCAGCAAGGGATTCTCCAGGCATATTAGCCTCTCTTCCTTCCACAAAGTTGTTCCTACACACTTGGGTATGGGCATACTTCACTATGGTCTATGTGGCATTTACCATGATTAGGTGTGGGGTTCCAGCCCAGTCTATTCACCTCTCCCTCTACACAGCTCCATGTTCTATGACGAAGATGGGGATCTGGCTCACGAATTCTATGAGGAGACAATCGTCACCAAGAACGGGCAGAAGCGGGCCAAGCTGAGGCGGGTGCATAAGAACCTGATTCCTCAGGTGAGGGGCAGGGCAGTGCTCACAAAGCCTAATTAGATATTAGGAGGTAGGCCCTAACAGGGTCTGCTGTCATAGTGGGAACCTTTGTGGGAGGAGCTGGGAGGAACCCAAAGACTTCCTGGAGGATGGGCCCTGAGCTGGTCCTCACTAGCCTCTGTTTCCATGGCAGGGCATCGTGAAGCTGGATACCCCCCGCATCCACGTGGATTTCCCTGTGATCCTCTATGAAGTATGAGCCCAGGGGGCTGGCAGGCAAAAGCACCCCTGCCCCAACAAGAAACTCCCAGGCTCAAGGTTTGGCTTCCTTTGAGGAACTCAGGCTGGGGCACAACCCTGAATAAACTACATTGGCCTGGAACCTTCAGCTGTGAGCAGGGCAATCCTGCAGTGTTGGTTGGATATTGGTTTCTGTATGAACAAGAAGCAAGACAGGACTACCCTGGTCAGGAATGCCTGGTTCCTGTCCCCTTGCCTGGCCTCTTTTCCAAGCTTGCCTAGGGCGCAGCCCTGGTAGAGGCTATAGCACTTTAGAAGCAAGGTCTGCCTTCTTCCAGCCCCTGGGCTGTGGGGGCTGTAAACAAGTGGAAATTTCCTTTCTTTCACTTCCCTTATCCCTTTGTTGGAGCATTTCAGCCATTTGCTACCTCGATTCCTCTTGTGTTGGACAGAGGCTAGGGGAAGTACCAGCCTGATGTTTCCTGGGTACCTACCTGTCTGTTCTCACTCCCAGATGGATAAACACTTCACTGGCAGTTGATAGTAGAGGGACTGGTGTGGGAGGATTCTTCTGCTACCTATGGCTGGGTTGACCTCTCCCCGGTGTAACTAATTGTTGCATTGGCTACCCGTTAGAGGGTGCAGACCAGGGTCAGGAAGGGGTGTGGATGCCTGTGCCTATGGGGAGTTGCTCCAACCCACCTACTCTAATCCCCTTTGCCTTTGTGCCCGCCCCCCCAGGGGACTGTCCACCACCCTGTGATAAGGGACAGCACCCCAGGGCTGGTGCCAGTAGCTCTGAGGAGCCCATCAATGCTCCCCCTATAGTATCCCACCCTTTCAGGATCAGTCAAGGGAAAGTACTGGAGCCCCTGCCTTTTGTGCCCTAAGTAGGGACAGAAAGAAGGGAAAACAATAAAAGGAAGACATAAAATGTGAAGGTTTGTAAATAGTCTAGTCTATAATGTAGGGGCAGAGTCTGATTTCTATATAGAGATGGCTTTTTTTTTTAACTCCTTACTGTGCAAGCTGTGTGCTTCTGAAGTGGGAAAATGGCTCGGGGAAGGTGGTCCCCCAGCCTGAGAAGGCTGCTGTGTTAATTGTTCAATTTCAATAAAAGGATTTGTAGATCCCACACACAAGAGTGACATCCTCTGGGACTGAGCCCAGCTTACAGCCAGCAGGTGGCAGTGTATACACAGCTCAGGAACCTTGCTGCTGTTGCTGGAGGGGGGTGTGTAGGGGTGGGGCTCAGGATGGAGGCTCATTGTGTTCAGTGTGGTGGGGAACCCTGGAACTGGGAGGCCTTGGGATGTCTCACTAAGTATCGGTCCCACCTGCCTGACCCCAGGTAAGGGTATGACCCCAGGTAGGTCTGGAAGAGCTGCCCTCTCCCAACAGTATCAGTGAGCGAGCCCAAGTGAAGCCTGAGTCCCATGGGCCCCCAAGGCTCAGCCCTAGGTAGACAACAGTCTGATGGGTACCATCATGTCCTCAGCCTGTTTCCAAGCTGTGCAGCCCAAATCTACTTGACACACCAACCTGGGAACACCAGGAAAGTGGACTCAGAACTTGTGTTTTAGCAGGCAAGGCTCAGTGCCCCAACTATTACAACTGCACCTTACTGCATAGTCTGCTCACTTGCACCCTGTCCCTGTGGACATTTCTACCTACACATCTCAGGGCCTGCTATGAAGCAAATTCTCTGCTAGGCTTAGCTCTTGGCAATCAGCCCAACTCCCAGGCTCCTGGGTAAAGGGAGCTGGCTTGCCTCCAAGTCTGGGGCAGGATCACCTTGTGCAGCTTAGACTTCCAGTCCTATGCACCTTCCCATTTCGCCCACAAGGTGCCAGGCTTAAGGCCCCATCATCTTCCACATAACCCCCTCTTCCCCCACAAGTGACTGACCTATGGCCTAGGCTCACCCATCCAGATGACATCCCATCTCCCACTACCACTGTCCCAGCAAAGGGTAACTCCCTGTGCTGGGCCTGCCCCAGCTGACCCCAAAGCTGGAAAACAATGGGGGTCAGGGCAGTGCTTCCCCACTCCCTCCCAAGGGCTGTGCTCACTTCCTTCCTGCTGACTGCCTGAGGAAGTATCCCTGGGACAGTCTGGTCTGGTTTTCATTTCCCTTGGGGCCCCCACCCCTGGAGTTCCCTAGACCTCCATACAGGGGCACAGGAACACTCCACCCTTCCATGCCAAGGACCAAGCTAGGTGCCCACCTCCTCTAGGCACCCCCCTTATCTCACACAGCCTGTTAGGAGAGAGGCCTAGGGCATCTGGAGGTGGGACAGTGGTGTACTGGAGGTAAGAAGGACCTTGGTGATTTGAGGGTATATGTCTGTACCTCTGGAGGGATCTGCTGGGATTCTTCCTTGGGATCAGCAGCATTATGGGCCCCCTACTCACAGAAATACAACCCTTTCCTCACCCACGTTGTACAGATCCTTCTGTTACATAGCAAGCTCAGTGAAAATCTCCCGGGAGTGTTCTCCAGGAAAGTCCCCTGCAGAACTCTCCCCCTTCACCTCAGTCACATATATTAATACAACTGCCCATTCTGGCACACTTGGGATGTTTCTGCTCTCAGTGGGAGAAGAAAAAAAAGACTTCTGTAAGTCCCTCCTCCAGACCCCCTCTTATTCTTTGGCACCAGCTCTGGAGAACCATCAGCTGAGCACTGGGCAAGTAGTCTGATTCTCAAAAGCACTACATCACTGGAGTGCCCTCTACTCACACTCTTAGGTTTGAGCATGAGCCCAACCCAAGGGAAGGCTGGGGAGGTGGGCCTGGGCCCCAACCGTTCCTGTCACCTGGAGCAGTTGGTGGGACCAGTGACCAGTCGGAGGAAGTTGGGGAGGGAAGCCAGCCAGCAACCATATGCCAGAGGGAAACAGAGTCTAGGCGGTTCCCTCCCCCGCGCCTGCTCCTGGCCCTTTCCTCCCGGAGGGCAGCAGGAAGTGAGGAGAAAGGGCTGGGGTGGGAGGCGGGAACGGGTGGGAGGGGATGGAGTTCATCAAGTCGCCCGCAGGCTGCCCATAGGGCAGCAGCTGGTGCGACTGGCTAGCCAGGAGAGGCTCACCGGGGAAGAAGGGAGGCCGCCGACCTACGGGGCCGACAGGCTCCCACACAGGTGAGCCTGCCGCAGGCTGCTGGTCTGCATCCCAGTAGATATGCCCCGAGCAGCAACCCCTTCCTCTCCCGGCCCTTTGACGAGCTAAGTCCCAATACTGAGGGAGCGAATCTAGAAAGAGGCGAGAAGCGCTCACACAGGGCTTGCCCAGCTCCATGTCTGCTTCTCACCAGGAGGGGCGTGCGGGGCTAGTAGGCCCAGGATATTGGATGGAGCTCCCCCGGAGCTTCTCCGGACCGTCTTCGCGTTCCATCCAGGAAATTCTGCAAGAGTGGCACCTTCCTCGGAGTTGAGAGGGAGCCTTGGAGGCTCCCACAAGCCCCTCCGCCGCCCCCTTTCCCCGCCGCCTAGAAATTGGGCAGGAGGGAACGTGAACCCAGGAATTGTCCCGCCGCTATGCGAGTAGGAGGCAGCGAGGCGTCCCCTCTCTCCGAGACCCCGCTGGGCCTCCCCGTTCCCAGTCCCACCGGTCAAACTGCGATCCGCAGACCGAGTTGCCAAGACAACCACTGCCTCTCGGCCCAGACCCTGGAAGGCTAAGAGGCGGATATTTGACCCCCTCCCCCAGCCTGGCAGAGGGCTGGGCTTCGCTCCAGACCAGGAGAGGGGGCGGAGCATAACTGTGTCGGATGGCCGAGAATAGGCTCTAGTCTGGGTCCCTTGGTCTGCACCGAGGATACCCAGAGCTGGGAACAATACTTGAAGGTGCAGAGACGGATCCGCTGGTCCATACAGGCACGGTTTTGAAGTCCCACAGCATCTCCTTATGGCCGAGCGAGGGGAAAGCAACCTCTTTTATCCTCTTTTCCACTGTCCCTTGTGCTTATCCCTTTAAGGGGCTGGCGAGGCCGCGGAGTGGGGAGGACTGTACCACTGGCCGCAGATTACAGGGGAATAAAACTCGGGTCTGAAAATCTCGGGCGTTCGTGTCTGAGACTTCGGCAGGAAACCTCCCCCAGAAGGGCTTTATGGTCCCACATTGGCCGCCACGCTTCCCAGCAGAGGGTGTGGGGGCCTTAGAGGCCGAAACCAGGAATTGAGAGCGCTAGAAGCCGGTGTATCCTCCCTCCCCGGCCAAGAGTCTAGCCTGGGGCCCGCCTCCTCCCTGGAGTCTTAAAGGAGCCGGGGCCCCGGGGGCGGAGCCAGCATAAGCGCGGAGCCGAGGCTGCGCCTGGGCGAGTGGCCGGAGTTTGCGGGGCTGGGCCGGGGACTGCGGTGGCCATGGAGGGGGTCCTGGCGATCCCCTGCGCGAGGTGAGGGCGGGCAGTGCAGGACTTGGGGGCTCGTTTTTTTCGGGCTGGGCTCTTAACCCTTCCCCGGGGGTGCGCCCAGAGGAACGACCCGGGGACCCCACCCCCACCAGGCCGGGTTCAGGCCCCACGTGCGGGGCGGGGGCGGGGTCCCGCACAAAGGCCCAGTGGTTTGCACCCTGCCGGGGACTAGCCTGGCGGGCAGACGCGCGAGTTCCCAGCGACTGCAAAGGTAAGGGCCGGTTGGCCGGAGCCACTGTGGGAGGTCCGCCGCCCCTTTGTCCCCGCGGGTCCTCCACCGAGCCTGGGAGAGAGTCTGTGAACGAGACAAAGTCTTGACAGCTTCAGTTTTCTGCCGGGCTGGCCCTACACAGATAACAGCTTCCCGGCGTGAGTCTTCACTTTTCCGTGAGTCTTCACTTTTCCGAGAGTCTGCATTAGCAGTGCTCTGCCTTACCTGGATGATAGCGTTTCTTGGGACCAAAGGTTCTTTACAGGGTGCCAGATGTGCCTCAGGTTCAAGGCCCTCAGAACCATGTGCTGGGTATATGCAGGCATGTGTGTGTCTTTTCACGATGGGTCTATTGCCCTATTTGTCCCTTCTCAAAAGGGTCACAGATCTGAGAGATCCCTGCCAAGTCATAGGCCACCTGCTCTAGGAAGGAACCAGATGCTCCTAGCAGAGTTTCCAAGATGTCTTGGTTATAGCCATGTATGGTCTTAACAGCCATGGTCGTAGTACCCATGCAGAATGGGTTTTGGGAGTGGGGATTGGCTTGTGGTGAGTAACTCTAGGATTCTCCAGTCTGACCTGCTCTCCACCAACCTTCCCCCAGTTCCTGAACTGGTGCCAGTCAAGTGACACCATCTTCCTGCAGTCCCCAGCATGCGGGCAGGCCCGAGCCCCGCCGTCACACTGGCCCTGATGCTGGCGGTGGCATGGGCCACAGAGCTCAAGCCCACAGCGCCTCCCATATTCACGGGCCGGCCCTTTGTGATAGCATGGGACGTACCCACACAGGACTGCGGCCCACGTCACAAGGTGCCACTGGACCTGAAGGCCTTTGACGTGCAGGCCTCACCTAACGAGGGTTGGGTGAACCAGAACATTACCATCTTCTACCGGGACAGGCTGGGCCTATATCCACGCTTTGACTCAGCAGGGCAGTCTGTGCATGGTGGTGTGCCGCAAAATGGCAGCCTCCGGGCACATCTGAAGATGCTGCAGGACCATGTGGAACACTATATCCGCACGCAGGAGCCTGTGGGGCTGGCAGTCATTGATTGGGAGGACTGGCGGCCTGTGTGGGTACGCAACTGGCAGGACAAGGATGTGTATCGCCGGTGGTCACGCCAGCTGGTGGCCAACCTCCACCCCGACTGGCCACTGGACCGTGTGAGCAAGCAGGCTCAATACGAGTTTGAGTTTGCTGCTCGGCAGTACATGCTAGAGACACTGCGCTGGGTCAAGGCAGTGCGTCCACGACACCTCTGGGGCTTCTACCTCTTCCCTGACTGCTACAACCATGATTATGTGCAGAACTGGGCCAGCTACACGGGTCGCTGCCCTGACGTTGAGGTTGCCCGCAATGACCAGCTGGCCTGGCTGTGGGCTGAGAGCACAGCCCTCTTTCCCTCTGTCTACTTGGATGAGACACTTGCCTCCTCTTCCCACGGCCGCAAGTTTGTCAGCTTTCGTGTACAAGAAGCTCTTCGTGTGGCTCACACCCACCATGCCAACCATGCACTCCCAGTCTACGTCTTCACGCGGCCCACCTATAGCCGCAGGCTCACAGGGCTCAGTGAGGTATGTGTCTCACAAGACCCTGCCTTCTGCCTTGTCCCTTGAGGAACCACTGGCAGGTTTGTGCTACTAAGCCTATGTTGTTATGTGCCGTCGAGTTGAACATGACTCATAGCGACCCCTCCTTGGGTTGCCAAGGCAGTATCACTACAGAAGTAGATTGCCTAACCTTCCTTCCGAGGAGTGGCTGGTGGGTTTGAACCGCCAGCCTTCTGGTTAGCAGTCAAGTGCCTTAGGCACTGTGCTACCAGAGCTCCTATACTAAGCCTATACTTAGTGGCTATTTTACATCCCCTCACCTCATCCTCTCTGCAGTCATATGAAAGGATAGACTCATTATTGCCATTTTGCAGATGTGAAAACTGAGGCCCGGACATGCTGAGAAATTTGCCCAAAGATTCCCAGTAAATCCAGGGCTAGGGACATTGGCCTAGGCATTCTGACATTGGACTCCTTCCAGATAGATACCCTAGGCTCAAATGTGCACTATGCTTGGGAAACTGAGGGCCAAAATGGGGGTGGAAATAGGCTTAAACACTTAAGGAGGAAGTGAAGCAGATGTGTCCCTGCCAGAATGGTGAGAAGTGCTGACCTCCAGCATGGAGAGGACTAGGCTGGAGGATCAGGAGGTTAGAATAGCCTAGGGCCTGCCCACCCTGTTTGTTCTTAGCACCCTGCATCTCTGTCTCCCTCAGTGACTATTCCCTTCCCACACAGATGGACCTCATCTCCACCATTGGCGAGAGCGCAGCCCTGGGTGCAGCTGGTGTCATCCTCTGGGGTGACGCAGGGTACACCAAGAGCATGGTAAGAGGGAAGACTACAAGAACAGGCAGAGAGTTTGAACCTTTGGCTCCTCAACCTCAGGATGACCAAACCTAGTCTGGCCCCGTCTTCCACTTTAGGCATCCCTGGTCCCAGCAGAGAATGAAGGCACCCCCACCCTGCTCCCAGGAAAGGGGAAACTCCATTCTGAACAGCTGTTTAGTTCCACCCTTCTCCTCGTGCCCAGCTGGGCTTCAGTCTCTGCCCCCACCCCCTCCCAGCAAGAGCTGGTACTGAGGGCTTAGGCATGTACTTGCATGTACACATACGTGCACATACATGTATATTGATGAAACAAGGTATAGTTAGTGCAGTATGAACCGTTTTCTGTGGGCCTGTGGGCTGAGGTAGCTGACCCTGACCCTTGATTCCTGGCCTCTGTCCCCAGGATACCTGCCAATACCTCAAGAATTACCTGACACAGCTGCTGATCCCCTACGTGGTGAACGTGTCCTGGGCTGCCCATTATTGCAGCTGGGCTCAGTGTCATGGCCATGGGCGCTGTGTGCGCCGCAACCCCAGTGCCAGTGCCTTCCTGCATCTCAGTGCCAGCAGCTTCCGCCTAGTGCCTGGCCATGCACCCGACGAGCCCCAGCTACGACCTGAAGGGGAGCTCAGCAGGGCTGACCGTGACAACTTGCAGGCACACTTTCGTTGCCAGTGCTACTTGGGTTGGGGTGGTGAGCAATGTCAGTGGGACCATGGGAAGGCAGCTGGGGGTGCCAGCCAGGTCTGGGCAGGGCCTCACCTCCCCAGCCTGCTGGCTGTGACAGCCCTGACTCTCACCAGGACTTTATAGGGGTCTCCCACCCGGCTGCCAGGCAAGCTGGACTCTGCCGGGCATGTAGGAGCCTGCATGGGTGGACTAATGAGTCTGGAGGGGGCAGAGCCCCCAGAATGACCAGCTGAAGCATCCATACCAGCTCTTACCACCCCCCCTGTTCTAAGGGGGGGCAGTCTCCTGGGAGGCCCCCATCTCTCTCTACCAAGGGGGAAGGGGGCATAGTCAGATAGGGGAGGGCCTGACCCTACTCCCCTGCCCTTGGATAGTTTATTATTATTTTGGGGTCTCTTTTGTAAATTAAATGTAAAACAAATGCTTCTGTGCTTGGACTTTCTGCACCTGGGCCAGGGTGTGAGAGATTCCAGGGTTTCCCAAGAGGTTTGAACTCAGCTTTGTCTCTGCCTGTGAGATCCTGTTCTGGGGGACTTCTTGTCTATAAAATGTATTTGCTGGGACCTGGGTCTTTGGACTCAGAGCTATCTATTCTGTGGCTGTTCTGCTGGGGCAGGGGCCACTGGGGGTGGAGGGACCCACATTTTGTCCCAGCACCAATGGCCTTACTTTCTCTATATTGATTGGAAGGGGGTTGGGCCATGTGCGAGGGACAGAGCTCACTGGGCTTCCACCACTTGCCCCTGCACCCTCAGCTGGGCTAGTGCCAGCTGCCTTGCCTCGCCCACCCAGGGAGAAAGGAGAAGTGGATGTTTGATCTTCCCTGGCTGGGCAGGTAGCCAGGCCACTCTTCCCTGCTGTTCCTACAGGCAGGAACCTCTTTTCCACTCCCCTCTCCCAAGGGCAGTGGACTCCAGCCACAAGCCGCATCTTTTCCTTTCTGGGTCATAGCCCTACCCTGAGTCGGGAGGGGGAGCAGGCAGGGTCCTGGGATCTGAATCCTGAAGTTCAGTCCCCTGTCTCACTGCAGAGATACATGCTAAGACTGGGGGGCCTTTCTGAGCCCAGGAGCAGAGATATCTTCAAAATCAGCTCCATCCTGACCATGGGAGGGCATGGCTAGTGCCAGGTTGTCCCAGGGAGGAGAAGTAGTAGTCAGACCAACTCTGACCTGCTTCACCACCCCACCTCTGATAGGAGTTACTCAGGAGGTCTCTGCCCTCCCCTTCAGTCATCAAACCCACACCCTAGTACCCCTGTCTGAGTCAGATGACTCACCCATGGCCCCTGCCCCTTCCTCACTGGGAGATAAACTCAAGAAACAACTGAATGGCAAAGGCAGCCCTGAGGGACACTGCCTGGCCCAGCCACAGGAACTCAGGGCAGACATCTCAAGAAGTGCTTCTTGCCTGTCATTTTGGGAGATGAAGGGGAGAGGCACATCACATGCAAAGACTGAGTCAGGTGCCAGACAGTAGAGGAGGCTCTCAAGAAGCATGCAGGCACAAGATGGCATGGTTGTAAAACAGACCCCTGGAGGAGCAGCCAGGCCAGATGGAGGTCAGTCAGGTAGTGAAGGCATCCCTTTGGCTACTGATGAGCAGAGAATGGAGAGAAGGTGGGGTGGTAAGACTGGGAAGGCAGTGAATAAATTCATGTGGTAGAGGAAGTGACAAGATATCCAAGTGCTTCTGGCCATGGTGGGAAGAGGCTGGGCTGGAGAGAATATTCAGGTGTTAGTTTGTGGAGCCCAGCAGTGGGACGGCAAGACAAGAGGCACTGTCATGTGTTCCCCATAGTAACTTCCCTACCCCTACCCAGCTGTGACTCTCCATGCCTGTCACCTCCCCACACAGATGTGATCCATGCTACCTGTGACCTGCCCCACTGTTCTGGTTACCTAGTGCTGCTCTGACAAGAATATACCACAAATGTGGATGGCTTGAACAAACAGGAGCTTATTCACAATTTGGAGGCTATAAGTCCAAGCTCAAAGTGCCAGGCTCTAGGGGCTGGGTGAAAGCCCCTCAACCTTGGGATCCAGCTCTGCCTCCTGCTCCCACTAGAGGCATTTTTTCACTCAGACAGCTGCTGGCTACTGAGGCTGAAAAACCCAAGGTTGACAAGTAAAAAGGCACAGTCCCAATGTTACCAAACTACAGGGCAGGCCATTAATTTAAGTCCATTGTAAATCCCAAGGTCGGCAGAGCATGGCAGGCTGCTGAACAATGACATGGCTACATGCAGGGTCCGACCGTGCCATAAACTCGACACTATCCCCAAGGCTTCTTATATGCAGGAAGCAGACCACATCCCAGAGGCAGCTACCTACTCAGCTGCTTGTGGTAGATCCCACCATGGAGTTGATTGCCAGTCTCATTGTGGGGAATAACTACCACCAGCTGCCTAGACACTCAACCAGGCCCAGCCAAGTTGACATACAAATTTAACTGCCACACCCACCTATACCTATAATCACACACATACACCAGTGGTCAAGACACACCTGTGATTTCATAATACACAGTTGTGATTTCCCACAGCTGTGATCTCACCCATACAACTGTGACCCCTAACACCAAAACCAAACCAACTGCTGTAGAGTTGATTCTGACCCATAGTGACCCTATAGGGCAGAGTAGAACTAGCCCTATAGGGCTTCCAAGGCTGGAAATCTGTATGGAAATAGACTACTGCATCTTTTTACCACGGAGTGGCTGGTGGGTTCATACAGCCAACCTTTTGGTTAGCAGATGAGTGCTTTAACTGCTGTGCCACCAGGGTATGATTTGCCACTAGTTTTCTTCAATTATTTTTTTTACTGTCTACCTACATTCAGAATTTTTTCCCTTTTTTTCTTCCTGTCTGGCCAGGCATCAAATCTTAAATGATCCAAACCCATTACCGCTAAATTGGTTCTTACTCATAGCAACCCTAGAGGGAAAGTAAAACTGCTCCCATAGGGTTTCCCAGGCAATAAATATATACAGAAGCAGACTGCCACATCTTTCTCCCACAGAGCAGCTGGTGGGTTCCAACCACCAACCTTTTCATTAGCAGCCAAGCACTTAAACCACTGTACTACCAGGGCTCCTTACATACTATAACCCTGTATGCACAAAGCTGTGACCACCAAAGACAGCTGTTACCTTTCCTAAACATCTGCAACCTTTTTTACACAGCTGTGACCCGCATCCATCCAACTGTGTGGACACATCACTTTCCTAGGAGGAACTGGAGGATAGCCTTGGGAGAGTACAACTCAGAGACAACCAGAGCTGTCCTGTGATGAGGTGGGAGAGGGTAGGAGCAAGATAGCCCAGGGCTGAGGTATGTGTAGCCAGGCAGAGAGCAGGCAGGAAGCAGTCAGAAGCTAGACTGACCTCACACATACCACTTTCACCAATCCAACCAGACCAGCGTGTGACAGCAGGTCTCTCTGGTCAGGGCCCTGGAAAGGTGAAGGGCTTTGGGAAGGCATCCCCAGTCTCTTCTTGCTGGCTGCCATTTACAGTTTCTCCTTTTCACTGAGGCCAGCTGGAGATGCTTGCCTGCTGGTTGCCTGGGTTGGGCTAAGTGCAGCACTGGGTTTCTGGGGGCACCGAGGCAGCATAGAACCTTGGGGACGGGAGTTAGAGGCTGCCTTAATGCTCTCCTGCCCCCTCAGCCTTCAGGAGTTGTGCCAGGCTTTCTCTGGGCCTACATGGTCTAGGTCATATACAGACAAGATCAGCAGCCACTACCTCCATGGCTACACATTTTAGTCCACAGCCACTGTGCCCACAGCCCCCAGTATCCTGAGCTCTCACCCGTAAACCTTCCAGCTTTTCCTTCTCAGCCAGCCTATCCCTGGAGGACTAAGAGCCAAATAATAGCTAACTGAGTGTTGTTTCTGCAGCAGCCACCAGACCAGGGGACTCACTGACTCAGACTGCTGCCATTCCAGGCAGAACTTTTATGCAGGGTGGGGACATGGTAGGTATTTCCTTCACTCCACCCTGACAGGCAAGCCTGGGCCTAGGCACCTGGCAGGTCTATATAATCAGCTCCTGAATTTGAACAAGTAAAACTACAAATGACTGAACAAGCACATGGTCACAGATGAACCCACAATCACACCCAGGGGCACACAAACACAGGGTCTCAAGGTCATAGACAACAGGGCCTTCACACACTTGGCCCCAGGCACAGGTCCCACACACTCAAATGCACATACCACTGGAGTTTGTACAGAGGTCCAGGTGGTCACTAACTGGGGCTTCACAAAAACACTATGACAATGACTTAGCACATACACAACAGGTGATGACAGCCCTTACTTCACAAATGCAGAGTCTTTCCAAGACAGTGTCGAAGGCAGGGCTCACATCCACTAGGTAGCAGGCATAGAACCTGAGACATACAATACTTTTAGGGACCCATGCAAATGTTTTAATTTTTTTTAATCTGAAGAAAATAATAATGAATATATAAAAATGAACCCAGCCTGGATTATATGTTTTTATATCAAAATAGTTGTAAAATATATTTTCAAGGAGGAAAGGACACATGAAGGCAAAAGTACCCAGAGCCCACAGATGTTGTAATTTTAGGCCATGCCTGAAAATAACCCAACCCCTAGGCACCCAGACTAGAGTACCCAGAGGCCTGTCCAGCTGGGCTGGCCACTTAGGCAGCCACCCCCCACCCCCCTGTCCTCCCAGTAAAGCCACAAAGCCCTGCCCTAGTAATGACAAGGTGGGAGGGGTTACTTCCTACCCCAACCAAAGGCACTTTGCTGGGGGTGCAGAGGTGACTGCTGCTTGGCATGGCTTCCCAACCCAGGGCCCACCCCTTGGCCTGCCCCCAGACTGGGCGGGGTGACCCCTACAAAAGCTCAAAGTTTCCAGCAGCAGCTTCCTCCAAGAGTTTCTGGTGCAGCTGGGGCCAGAGTTGAGGAACAACGGAATCTGGATGGGCCCTGCCTAGGTCCCCACCCTGAGGTCAGGAAGTTTGGATATGAGGTCCTTCAGCCCTGAGGTTAGCAGGGACAAGTGGGCAGACTGGTGGGCATATATGAGGGCTGGGTTCACCTGTCCTTGGTCACTAAGCAGCCCTTCCTCTAATGAGTGGCCAGGATTCCTGGGGGAAGGGATGGGAAAGGCCCTCATCAGCAAGTCAGCCTAGGGGCCAAGGGCCTGGCTCTTGGCTGCTCTTTAGTCTGAACAAAAAAACAGCCTTTGTAGCCCTTGGGAAAAGATATGTGTGTGGGGGTTGCAGTTTGATGCCAGGGTAAGGACTGTGAGGAGGAAAGCAGAGGCCCGGCCCATGGGCAACTCAGATGTGGCCTCCAATGGCAGGTCTCCCCTCCATGCCTCTCCTCTGCCCTCTGACTCACCTGGGCCCTGTAGGTCAATGTTTGCCTAAAACCAGAGCAGGGGTGGGTTAATGAGCAAGGGGCTTGGCCTGCCTGGAGGCCCCCCTCTCATTTCTGCCTCCCTTGACCAGGTTCCCATAGACACACCCCGTGCCATGGCAGCCCCTCTGTTGCCCTTTTGCGCTCTCTTCCTTACCTTCTTGGGCATGGCCCAAGGCTCCAGGGGCCCCCTGGTACCCAACCAGCCCTTCTTCACCGTCTGGAATGCAAACACCCAATGGTGCCTGGAGAGACACGGCGTGGACGTGGATGTCAGTGTCTTTGATGTGGTGGTCAACCCAGGGCAGACCTTCCGCGGCCCTGACATGACTATTTTCTACAGCTCCCAGCTGGGCACCTACCCATACTACACACCCACAGGGGAGCCCGTGTTTGGCGGCCTGCCCCAGAATGCCAGCCTGGACACCCACCTGGCCCGGGCACACCAGGACATCCTGGACGCCATGCCTGCACCTGATTTCTCAGGGCTGGCAGTTATTGACTGGGAGGCATGGCGCCCACGCTGGGCCTTCAACTGGGATGCCAAGGACATATACCGGAAGCGTTCACGGGAACTGGTACAGGCACAGCACCCTGACTGGCCATTTCCTTGGGTGGAGGCAGCAGCCCAGGTCCAGTTCCAGAAAGCTGCACAGACTTGGATGGCAGGCACCCTCCAACTGGGGCAGGCACTGCGGCCTCGTGGCCTCTGGGGCTTCTACGGTTTTCCTGACTGCTACAACTATGATTTTCTAACTCCCAACTACACTGGCAAGTGTCCACCGGGTGTCTGTGCCCAGAATGACCAGCTGGGGTGGCTCTGGGGCCAGAGTCATGTCCTCTACCCCAGCATCTACCTGCCCAAAGCACTGGAGGGCACGGGTAAGGCACAGATGTATGTGCGACACCGTGTGGGTGAGGCTTTCCGTGTGGCCAAGGGTGCTGGAGATACTGACCTGCCGGTGCTGCCATACGCCCAGATCTTCTACGACATGACAAACCGCTTCCTGCCGCTGGTGAGTTATTTTCTGTGACTTTGTCTACCTTGTGAGCTCGCCTTCTCAGGGACTGAACTCTGCAACTCAGGGGCACTTCGATCCATTTCTTCACACATTCATTGTGCCCCTGTTTTGTGCCAACCTCTGTGCTAAGTACTGGTGATTCTGCATGCCTTAGAAAGCTGTAGTCCCTGCCTGTGTGGTACTCATGGTATCTGGCTAGGCCCTACCTAAATCTTCACTGTGGGGTCAGGACATTTGGAGGCAAGCAGGAAAAAGGATTGCCTCTGGCAACCAGAACAGCTCCAGGAGGAGGGAGGGTTATTTATCCCATCCGATGGTGTTACATCAGCTTTCCCTGGGGCAGGAGGGAAGCCCCACTGACTTGTGCTGTCCTTCTTTCTCAGGATGAGCTGGAGCACAGCCTGGGGGAGAGTGCAGCCCAGGGAGCAGCAGGAGTGGTGCTGTGGGTGAGCTGGGAGAACACACGAACCAAGGTGAGCTCAAGGTCAGGAGTGTGGTAGGGTCCATAGGCTGGCTGGGGAGACCCTAGCCAACCATTTCCACCTCTACAGTCACAGCTGGCCAGCAGGTTAAGTGCCTCACTGCCGTGGGTAGGCCTCTGCATGGCCACAATGTCCCTGACGGCCCTTCTTCGCCCCCAGGAATCGTGCCAGGGCATCAAGGAGTATGTGGATGCCACGCTGGGGCCCTTCATCCTTAACGTGACCAGCGCAGCTCTTCTCTGCAGTCAGGCCCTGTGTTCAGGCCATGGCCGCTGTGTCCGCCGCCCCAGCCACCCTGAGGCCCTCCTCATCCTCAACCCTGCCAGTTTTTCCATCCAGCTCACACCCAGTGGTGGGCCCCTGACCCTGTGGGGTGCCTTGTCCCTTGAGGATAAGGCTCAGATGACTAAGGAGTTCAAATGTCACTGTTATCGTGGCTGGTGGGGAGCATGGTGTGAACAGCAGGGCATAAATACGGTAACTGATCACCTATGAGAACACACACATTGAGCATCTAATAATGCGCTCTAGGCCTGGCCACAGCTTTTCAAGTATAGGCAGAGTCAGACATGGTCATAGTCAGGAGTACACCCAGTCACCATCATGAGCATATGCCCAACACATGCACTCATCTCATAGCCCAGAATAGTCACATAAGGAGTAAGAGCCATTCCAAGTCCACAGGCACCCACCCGTCAGAGTTTCAGCCAACTCTTCCAAAGACCTTGAGCCAGTCTTTAAACTACAGCCATTACATGAAAACTGACATTCACAGCATCTTGTCTACCTCAAGCCCTGTGCGGAGCACTTAAAGTGGAAGAGCTCATTTAATCCTCTCAAAGCTATGATTAGGAAACTGAGGCACACACAGGGAGGGTAAGCACTTTGCCCAAAGTCAGTCAGGAGGAGAAGCTGAACTTCAAACCCATGCTGTCTGGCTCCAGAGGTGGAACCCTTAAGCTCCTACAATGTGTTGACGGTGACTCCTGCATAAATTCTGAACCTACTTAGAGGCACTAGCCCTACACAACCCCGAAACTAAAGCAGACATGAACTTTCTTCAAAAGCTGTTTCCTGAACGCCTAAAATGTTCAGACCCCAGAAACTAAAGGGCACAGGAAAGACTCGTCTCACTCGGTGAGGTATCTGTACGAGGGCAGCTGCTTCCCAGGGCTTGGCCCAAATTTCAGGAGGAAAGTGCACCTGCCTGATTTCAGGGAGGTAGGACCAGGAAGAGAGGGGAGGGAGTCGCCCAGACAAAGAGAAGCAGGGCCGGGACCTGTCCGAGAAGGGATCGGGGCAAGGCGAGGCGGAGTCACCTAAAGGAGGGCCCTGCGCCCGGCAGAGGATGTGACGCGTTAGGGTGGGGCAGGGCCTCCGCGGAGCTGCAGAGAGGCTGGATCTAAGCTGAGGTTCACAGAACCCAAGGCCTGACCTTTAAGAGGCGGGGCAAGGAAAAGGGGAAGCCGGTGGGAGGTGGGGCCTGCGTTCCTTCCGAGCTGTGACTCGCCGGGAGCAGCTGACTCAGCAGGAGGGGGCGGGGCAAAGGCGGGGCCAAGGTATAAGCTGAGTCTGCGCCGGGTCAAAGTTATGACGCGCTGAACCGGGGGCGGGGCCTAAGAGGGGTTCGCACTAGGCTGGTAGCGGTACCTGGCCCCTGGGCAAGATCCTGCGGAGCTGGTTGTGAATCGCGAGCCGCGATGGCTGCAGTGTATCCTTTGGACCGCTGAGGGCCAAAGCGGACGAACGGAAGAGTCCGAGCCAGAGCGAGATCCCGAGCCGTGCAGACCGAAGACGCGGAGCATCCAGGAGGCCGGCGCCAACATGTCAGTACCGTCCCCTCTCTGCGCGCGGCGTGTCTGTTCTCGCCGTCCGTCGCGCTTCCCGTTTGAGTCGCATGTGCAGTCCCCAAGTGGTCGTACTGCCCCCACGACCCCCTGCTTTGGTTGTTACTTCCTGGAGTATACCAGGCCACACCCACCCACAAATTCCTGACGCCCCCACCCCCCAGAAACTCCATGGTCTGTGACCCACTTGTAGGGAAGGGGAAAACGAGGTATGGAAGGGATGGTGCAGTTCTCTGAGAAACCCCGGATCCGAGTCCCGCCCAGCTCATTAGAGGAGAAGTCGCCACTGAAGGGGTTAAGCCCACGGGGAAGTTTGGGGCTCCCTCCTAGGGGCGGATCCTGGGGGCTTCCTCTCTTCTGATCAAAGAGTGCGAGGCTGCTGCGCAGAAAGTTGGTGCAGGTGAGGGGCTACAGGCCTAAGCAGGGTGTGGTATGAGGAGAGGGAGAGGGGCTACCTGTTACTGACCAGCGCTGAACTGGCCTCAACTTCAGGGGCCTTTCTCTTTTGGGGGAGATGAGGGAGGGAAGCCAAGCCACTCCTTCTGGAGTAGGTGAGTATTGGGTTGGGACCCAGTTCTCCCCCATTTCCAGACATCCCACAGTGGTGACCCTCCTGCCAGAAGAGCCTGGGGCAGAGTGGGCAAGTAGTGAGATCTGGGTACAAGTCTAGACCCCAAGCTCGGCAGCCGTTGGGCACCCCAGTGAATGTAGGAAGGAAGCTATGGCCCTTATCTACAGTGACTATGAAACTCAGGCCAGTGGGGAACCAGGCCTATAGGCACCTCACTGACTGGTGACTGTGAGCCAGATCCTTTGCTGGTTCCCAGGCCCAGACATCATGGGGGGGGCCGCAGTTGAGTCCATGCTCAACGAAAGTGTCATGAACTGGGAAGAGCTGGAAAGGGGCCATGAACTCTGTGCCCCAAACAGGGAAGGCTAAGAAAGGAAAGCTGAGCCTGTTGGATGAGTAGAGTCCCAGGATTGGCTAAGTAGTGGGCATAACTCACATGTTGAAAAGGCTGGGAGCTGGAAGAGAGCCAGAATGTAAGGAGAAAGAGCATCTAGGGATACCTGTTTTGTCCCAGAAGGGAGCTTTGAGTGGGCTTAAGCAGGGAGGTCACTAGATTGAATTTGCATGTTCTAGCCTACTTTGGTGATAGACTGCTGAAGAGAGGATGACTATCAAGGAGGGCTGGGTCAGCTGTCCTGGCACAGTGAAGTCCAGGGAACACAAAGTTGTAGCCAGCATAGACTGGGGCCAAGACTTTTGGGTTTTCCCCTGGCCTTCAACAGCTTACTATTGCCCTCAGCCTGTCCAGTGTGGGGCAGGACACCCTGCACTAATCTGCTTGCTCGTCACCTGAGTCAGCCCCATAGGTGTAGGGAGTGGATTTCCTCTAGATTACCTGTGCCATCAGGTGAGTGTGAGGACAAGGTACAGCCCACCACTCCCCAGTTTTGGGATTATGACCCCCCATTGTATACTTACACTTCCATGCCCCAATCCCTGCCTGCCTTCTGGCCCGGCCCACCTGGGCTATTGTCCACAGGAGACCCCTTGTGTTCTGAAGAGATGCCTGGAGACCATGGTCTTGACCCCTAGCCTGGTGCTGAGCTGCCTGCAGCCTGGCTCAGCTCTGCTTGGATCCTGTGTGCACGCAAGAGCTGACTGAATCCGATCCTACCCAAGCCAACCCCAACCCCAGAACTTGTATACTGGATGAAGCTGATCTTGAAGCCCAGCCCAGCCAAGCTGACCCTGGATCCTGCATGCCAACCAGAGTTGACCTTGGATCCCTCACACCAACCAGAACTGACTCTGAGCCCCAAGCTAGCTGAGCTGACCCCAAGTCCTACATGCCATCCAGAGATGACCCTCAATCCTGGCACAGCTGAGATGATTCCGGATCCAACACACCAGCCAAAGACTCTAATACCAAACATGGCTGAGCTGACCCTGGAGCCTGTGCACTGCCGGCCTGAGCTCCTGGATGCCTGTGCTGACCTCATCAATGAGCAGTGGCCTCGCAGCCGAGCCTCCCGCCTGCACTCCCTGGGCCAGTCCTCAGACGCCTTCCCTCTCTGCCTGATGCTGCTGAGCCCTCACCCCATGCCTGAGGCAGCCCCTATCGTGGTGGGCCATGCCCGCCTGTCACGGGTGCTGGACAGGCCCCAGAGCCTCCTGGTGGAGACAGTTGTGGTAGCTCGGGCCCTAAGGGGCCATGGCTTTGGCCGTTGTCTCATGGAGGGCCTGGAGGTCTTTGCCAAGGCCCGGGGCTTCTGCCGACTGCACCTCACTACCCATGATAAGCTGAACTTTTACGCCCACCTGGGCTACCAGCTGAGTGATCCTGTGCAGGGCCTGGTCTTCACCAGTCGAGGACTGCCCACTAGCCTTCTCAGTGCCTTTGCCAGGGCCTCCTACCCCCAGCCACCCTGCAAGGCCCCCAGCCTGACTTCCCAAGCTGCCCCAAGAGCTCCCAAGAAGCCCCCATTGCCACCACCCCCACCCCTGCCTCAGCCCCCAGTCACCCTAGCCCCAGCAGTCTCCTCCCCACAAAGCCTACTGGAGACACGATATCGAGACCTAAAGGGTCGTCCCATCTTCTGGATGGAGAAGGACATCTAAAGGCCACCCAGGGCAAGGCACCATCCTTCTTTGTTAACAGACTGCCCAGGAAAGTACCACCCTCTAGCCCCTGGGTGTAGCTTTAGCCTTCACGAGGTTCCCGAGTGCCTGTGGGGCCAGGAGGTGCCTTCAGGGCTCTGGCTCAGAGCCATCAGTGTGGCTGAATAAAAGCTTCTGTTCAGTGTAGATGTGACTGCTCATTTGTTGACCCCCAGCCTTGTCTCAGGACTCCTGCCCCTGCATGAGCCCCCAGATCTACCTTGGCCCTGGGGGCCTGGCAGAGACACCTGCCCTTTGCCCTTCCCACCCTGCCAGGTCCAGGAGAAAGGAACCAAGGTGGCTATCCCCTTCCCCATTCACTCACTCATCATCACTGCCTGGACACCTACTGCATGTCAGGCACTGGGCTGGGCACAAGGGTCTTTACCTAAAAGAACAGACGAAGGGAGAGAAATAGGCATACAGCAGCAGAATCCATGCTGGGATGGGGGAAGTACAGAGGTTATGGGAGCCCAGATGCCCTCATTCCACCTGTGGATCCCGGAGCCCTCCCAGAGGAGGTGCTATCAGCAGAGATCTGAGTGTTGATCAGGAATTAGCTAGGCAAGGAGGTGAGGGCTGAGTGTTCTTGGGGCAGAAAACAAGATGGGTAGAGAAGAGAAGAGGACTTTTCAGAGTGCTGGGGTGGTGGGTTCAAGGGCAAAGTGGTATCATGGTAGAGATGGAGTACATGGGAGGGGAGCTGTATAGGCCAGCTTGGGGCATAGATATGAGAGGGCTGTGGGACCCCATGGGGACCATGCTTTGCCCAGCCCCAAAATCCTTTTGGAAGAGGCTGAGGAACTGCCCCTGCTGTATGGAAGGTATAGCTATGGCTGTGGTCTCTAAGCTCATACCTCCTCTCTCCTGCAGGTTTCCATCCCTGGGGCATGATCATGCAGCTAGGCCTGCCCTTGGTGCTGGGGGTGGCCCTGTGCCTGGGGTATGGCCAGCCCCCACCTGAACGCCCCTTCTCAGTACTGTGGAATGTGCCCTCAGCACACTGTAAGGACCACTTCGGCGTGCACCTGCCACTCAAAGCCCTGGGCATCACAGCCAACTGTGGCCAGCGCTTCCAAGGCCAGAATGTCACCATCTTTTACAAAAATCGGCTTGGACTCTATCCCTACTTTGGGCCCAGGGGCACAGCTCACCATGGGGGCATCCCCCAGGTTGTGCCCCTTGGCCGTCACCTGGTACAGGCTGCCTGTCAGATCCTCCACAGCCTGCGACCTGGTTTTGCTGGCCTGGCAGTACTAGACTGGGAGGAATGGTGTCCACTCTGGGCTGGGAACTGGGGCCGCCGCCGGGCCTATCAGGCAGCCTCACGGGCTTGGGCACGGCGGGTGTTCCCCCATCTGGACCCTCAGGAGCAGCTGCATGAGGCCCGTGCTGGCTTTGAGCAAGCAGCTCGTGCACTGATGGAGAACACATTGCGGCTGGGCCGAGCACTGCAGCCCCATGGGCTATGGGGCTTCTATCGCTTCCCAGCCTGCGGCAATGGCTGGCACAGCATGGCTTTCAACTACACAGGCCGCTGCCATGCAGCTACCCTTGCCCGTAACACCCAGCTGCATTGGCTATGGGCTGCCTCCAGTGCCCTCTTCCCCAGCATCTACCTCCCACCCAGGCTGCCACCTGCCCACCGCCAGGCCTTTGTCCGACACCGCCTGGAAGAGGCCTTCCGCGTGGCCCATGCTGGGCATCTGCATCCCCTACCTGTCCTGGCCTATGCCCGCCTCACACACTGGAAGTCTGGGAAGTTCCTGTCCCAGGTGAGTAGAAACAAGCCTAGGGATGTGAATGGACTTTGTCCTAGGAAGGGCTGAGGAGACCTTGCCTAAGATTATCCTTCCCTGGGGCATCTGATGAAGGAGGCATGGCTCTATCCTGGAGGCTCTTGTGGGGAAGGCAAGGTCCACCCTTTGGAACACTGGTCGGTAGGGAGACATTCTCTGAGTGGAAGGCCTGAGAGGCCACTTTAGATACTCAGTGCCAAGGGGCCCCATCCTAGAGGTAGAATCAGATCATGGTACTGAACCAGGAACACTTCTTAAAAGTGAAGGTGGGCCTAAATGGATCTGACCAGGCCAGACTTGGCTGAACAGCTCTCTGCCCTAGGATGACCTCGTGCAGACCATGGGTGTAAGCGCGGCACTGGGGGCAGCTGGTGTGGTGCTCTGGGGGGACCTGAGCTTCTCCAGCTCTGAGGTGAGTACTACCCCCTCCAGCATCCCATTCAGACCATGCTGGGGTCTGTGGGGTCAAAGAGAGGCCAATGCCAGGGCCTTGGAGCAGGAGCACTGGCACATCCTTCTGCCTTCCCTCAGGAGGAATGCTGGCGTCTCCACGACTACCTGGTGGGCACTTTGGGCCCCTATGTGATCAATGTGACCAGGGCGGCCATGGCCTGCAGTCATCAGCGGTGCAATGGTCATGGGCGCTGTGCCCGGCAAGACCCAGGGCAGCTGGAAGCCTTTCTGCATCTGCAGCCAGATGGTGTCCCTGGAGCTTGGGAGTCCTTCAGCTGCCACTGTTACCGGGGCTGGTCTGGACCTTCCTGTCAGGAGCCCAGTCCTGGGCTTAAGGAGGCAGCATAAAGCCAGGAATTATTTTCCCCTGACCTACCATTCTTCTTGTCCCTACTGCCACCTGCCCAGCCCTGCACTATTCACCTCACAGTCAACCCTCCCATGCACACACCCCACTCCCTTCTCCATCGCTGAATAGAAAGGGCCAGAAAAAACACTTCCACCAAATCTGACCTCTTCTGAAGAGGAAGCAATCCCAGCTTCAGCTAGGGTTCCAGCTGGTTAGGGCTACAGGTACAGGTCTATGTTCCTGCACCTGATTGGGTCCAGGAGCAGGTGAACCCCAAGAAAATCTTGGCTGAGCTCTGGGCATGCTAAACTGTTATCTGTACTCCGCTTTTTTCATAAACTCACTTTTTCTTTTATTGTATGAGTTTTGATTATCCTTACTTTTCTATCCATCCCGACGCACCTCTCATGGTCACCTGATCAAAGTGGCCCTGTAGGCCGCGTTGCGAATGTCCTGCCTCTAGTGCCCTGAGATGCTGGTCCTCCTGTAGAGGGCTGCTCCAAGAGGGCAGATTCAGAGTTCATGTACGTGTGCGGTTCGTGGGTATGTGTGTGGGGGGGAATGCAGGGCATTGTGGGTACATAGTTCAGCTAGAGCGTCGTCTGCTTACGAGGCCCACGAGAAGACTACAATTCCCGAGGTGCTCTGCGCCCAGTCGGCCGGCGGTAATACGTGCGCGCAACCTCCTGGGAATAGTAGTTTCGGCCGCGTGGATGAAAGTCTGAGCCCTACGACTAGGAACTCACCTTCCCGGCGGGCCGTTTGGCAGGGCGGGGCGCCTTGCGAAGATGGTGGAGTGCGCGGCGTGTGCCTCCAGTCGCTTGCCTAAGTCTCAGCGTCGCGCACCGGCCGGTGTCTCGCCGGTCCGGAGCCCCCGCCCGCCAGGTCTCTGACCCCGCGCCCCCAGTGTTCAGTCCCCGGTATGCCCCGCGCCCGCAAGGGGAACGCGCCTCGTAAGGGCGGCCAGCGCCGTGGAGGGGGTGAGTAGGGGGCGCGGAGTCGCTGATGGGCGGAGGACCAACCCCCTGTACGTGTCCCCGTCGGTGACTCCAGAGGTCCTATAGTGGGGATCCTTGTCTTGACCAGCCTGATGCAGCCGTCTGGAACTCTCCTGCGGCCGGCACGTGCGCCGGGAAGCAGCGGCCACGTGTGCACCCAACTTGAACGTGCTGCTGCCTGTCTAGTCCACGCTCCCGCGCGTAATCAGACAGGCATCAGCCACCTGTTTGTCCATTGCCCCTCCACAACAGAGGAGTTGGAGTTGAACAAACCCACCAGAAAGGGAAAGTAGCTGGCCCCTTCTCCAAGCCCTAATCTTTCCCCAGACTGGACAAGGAAGTTGACGGAGGCCTGGGAACCCTGGCTTGCCTGGGAGAACCAAAGGAGAGGGAAGGAGAGCCATCAGGAAGCCATAGGAGTCTGTTCTTAGTGGCCCGGCCCCAAGGGGATGTAGGGAGCCCACGCCCTGGAACCCTGTTCGGTCCTAGACTTTTATCAGCATCCAGCAGGAGTGTGATGTGGTGCAGTAAACACATATGTTTACTGTGCAGGAATGGGACACCCATGGGGCACAGCTCAGACCTGTCCCTGCCCTAATGGGACTTGAATAGGAGGACATTTAAGTGGATAGTGACAAAGCCAGCGGACCAGTAGTAGGGCATGTTCCTCAAGTGGTATCATCCCCAGACTTAGGAACTAGACAGACTTCCCAGGGGAGGAGCTTCTGTGAGTCCTGAGAAGGTGGGGGAAGACAGCACCATGCTGAGGGAACAAGTAATGCAAAGGCTGGACTACTTTGGCAGGGAGAGTGGTGAGAGAGGATTGTAAGCATAGACAAGTGTGGAGCTGGACTTTGTCTGGCAGACGGGGAGTATTTCGTGAGAAGTACAGCCAATCTGATGACCAGAACCTGGCCAGCTGTGAGCCTTATCCTGAGCAGCGTCCCCACACAGGAATGCTCTAGTCCTGCTGATCCAAATACACTCTGTGTTCAATCATTTTCAGGGGCTCACACAGTTGGGGGTCACTTCACTTTCTGCTCCTATTCCTAAGGTTGGAAAGAACTTGTATATCTGTCTCTGAGGGCTGAAGGCCCAGGATGGACCAAGGGGAGCTTAGAGGACAGTATGCTGGAAGCCTGGGATACCAATTTACCCTCTAGGATCCTTGCTACTACTCCCAGGGCCAGTGGTTGGCCTGGTGAGATTGTTAGCCCACAGAAGAACCACAACAATAAGTAACTTACTCAGTCACTGTCTGTAAAGATATGGAGCCAGAATTTCAAATCTGGGTTTGTCTGATTCTAGAATCAACTTCTCTGACCCTCCCCTGCCCATTTTGTGGTCATAATCCAGGCTGGTGGCTGGTCTCCCCCAAATTCTGCCTGTACATGGTCCCAGGCTGGGCCACAGGCCTAGGTGGGGACTGTATAACTCCTTCTGCTTCTAACTCCCTCCTAGTTTTCTTAAAGAAGGCTCTGGTCTCAGGGTGACACTGCCCACCAAGCCTGACAGGATTTCCCTAGGCTGGTCCTGACACCTAAAGCCATCCAGCAGATAAACCTTTTTCCCTTTCTCCTGCTTCCTGGCTCAGTAGCCCCTGCATTAGCCCCTGTGCTGCCCACCTCTGCCTCTGTTTTCTTATCTCTGAGAGGGGGCCAGACTCTTGCCTTGTGGGGTTATGGGGCTGGGATGAGATACCTCCAACCATTCCTCATCCGGTGGAGGCAGGCCAAGCACCCCATTCCATTTTCCCCAGGTGCCCGGAGCAGTGCCCACGCTGACTCAGGTTCCAGTGAGGATGAGGCGGCCAGTGAGGCCCGCAGCACCACCAGTGAATGTCCCAGCCTTGTCAGTGTCACAACAGAGGACTGCCTTGGTGAGAGCTGGTGGAAGCAGGCAAGAGCTCAGTGGGGGCTCGATGGGCAAGGGCAGGAAGCTGGACTGACCAGCTGGCTTTGCAGGGGGTGATGCTGTGGATGAACAGGCTCAGCAGGAAGACCTTGAGGATAAGCTGAAGGAATATGTGGACTGCCTCACAGACAAGAGGTACCCCTAGCCACCAGCCAAGGTCTTCCTGGTCTTCCCTCCATCCATGTCTCTGCTCAGACCAATTGTGAGCAAGGGAGGATGGCCCACATGACCCTCCTCTACCCCGTAGTGCCAAGACCCGGCAAGGTGCCCTGGAGAGCCTGCGCCTGGTCCTGGCATCACGCTTGCTGCCTGACTTCTTGCTGGAGCGCCGCCTCACACTAGCTGATGCCCTGGAAAAGTGCCTCAAGAAAGGTTGGGAGGAGGAGTGTGTGAGAGACCTGGACTTGGTGGGTGCTGACCCTTGCTGCTCAGGCTAACTAGAAAGTATTCCCTAGGAAAGAGTGAGGAGCAGGCCCTGGCTGCTGCTATGCTAGGTCTGCTCTGCGTGCAGCTGGGCCCTGGGCCCAAGGGTGAAGAGCTGTTCCACAGCCTGAAGCCCCTGCTGGTCTCCGTGCTCAGTGATGGCACAGCTAGCCCTGCTGCCCGTCTCCATGTGAGTGTTCCCATGCTTGGTTACACTACCCCCCCCACCCCCTCCATCTATCCCTATGCAGAGTGGTAGGTTCCACTTAACTCCAGGCTCCCCTACTTTGAGGGGCTATGAGGCTTCTGAGTGGGACCCAGGCTCAGCCTCCTGACGGGGATTTGAATTTGCCCTCCCAACAGTGCGCTTCTTCTCTCAGCTTGGGCTGTTATGTGGCTGCTGCTGATGTCCAGGTGAGTGGCCTTTGGGGACAGGTGGTAGAGTACCTAAACCCCTGCTCTGCCCCTGAGCCACTCCCCTGCCTCCCTGTGCCCCTAGGACCTAGTCTCTTGCCTTACTTGCTTGGAAGGTGTTTTCAGCCGGGCCTGCGGTACGCGTGGCTCCACAGCCCTTGTGGCTCCTGCCAGCCTGCATGGCCTGCTGTGTGCTGCCCTGCAGGCCTGGGCATTGCTGCTCACCATCTGCCCCAGCACCCACATCAGCCACATCCTCGACAGGTAGGGCCACCGGGAAGGGGAAGGGAAAGGTGAGGAGCCCCCCACACATACACATGAAGCTTAGCCTGCCCCTTTCCAGGCAGCTGCCTCGGCTGCCCCAGCTTTTATCCAGTGAGAGTGTGAACCTGCGGATTGCTGCCGGCGAGACCATCGCGTTGCTCTTTGAGCTCGCCCGGGACCTTGAGGTGCAGAGATGGGTGGGAGTGGTGCCTGATGATTCTACCTGCTCCTCCCAGGCTGGATACAGGGGATGCCACAGAGAACAGGGTAGCCTTAGTGAGATGTAGAGGGGAGATGGCCCCAACATAGACACTCATGCTAGGTGCTGTGATGGCGTCCCTGGCAAGGGTGCCTGGGCCAGGGGTAGGGGTGCAGCAAGGAGGGGCTCAGGCAGCCAGGTGGGAGAGGAAGAGAAGGGCTTTCTAACAGTGAAGGAAGGGTGTGGGTAGCCCATGCTGAGAGCCAGCAGAGCTCAGGCTCCTGCCCACATGTTGCATCACTGCAGGAAGACTTTATTTATGAGGACATGGAGGCCCTCTGCAGCACTCTGCGTACTCTGGCCACTGACAGTAACAAGTACCGTGCAAAGGCTGACCGCCGGCGCCAGCGCTCGACTTTCCGTGCTGTGCTGCATTTTGTCGAGGTGTGTGAGCGCGCGTGTGTCCTAGTGGGAATGGACCCTACCCCCTGGCACAGTAGCCAAGCCCAATCTTCCCTGCAGGGCAGTGAGTTTGAGGAAGAGACAGTCCGCTTCGGGCTTGAGGTGCTCTACGTGGACAGCTGGGCCCGGCGCCGGGTCTATGCCGCCTTCAAGGATGTGCTGGGTTCTGGCATGCACCACCACCTTCAGGTGGGGGCAGACAGGGTGGGAGCAGGAAGGGCTGCTTCTGACTGTCCTGATCTCACTGTCCTCTTTGTCCCCAGAATAATGAGCTACTCCGTGACATCTTCGGTCTGGGCCCCGTGCTGGTGCTGGATGCCGCTGCACTAAAGGCCTGCAAGATTTCACGCTTTGAGAAGGTTTGTACCCTTTATCTTTTCTCCATCCCTGTGTTGCCTGGGAAACTCTGCAGAGGTTACAAGAGGAGCTCTGGAGCCCTGGGCTTCCCCCTTCCCAGCTTACCAGCTCATCACCTGCTGCCCCTCCAGCACCTGTACAACACTGCCGCCTTCAAAGCCAGAACCAAGGCTCGTAGCCGTGTGCGGGACAAGCGGGCAGACATCCTGTGAGGCAGGACCGGCTGGAGAGGAGACTGTCTATACCCTTGGCTATGTTTTTAACAGAAGACAGTGCAATGACTGGTCCCTGCCAGTAATTGTCACTTTATTTTTTTAATGATAAAACCAAAAACAGACATGGGTGGGGGGAGCTGGTGGCAAGGCTGCTTGGAACCTTGGCCCTTTGCTCCTATACTCAGCCCTGTCACCTCTTCCTACCCTATCTCAGGCCTGGCTAGATATGTGCCTATATCCCAGGGCTGTAGGGCAGGCATTGGGGCGGGGGACGGGGGGCATTGTCCCTTTCTCTCATTCTCAGGCCTTAAGCTACTTATTGGAAGGGACTGCAGAGCATCTAGACAGCCACCCCAGCAGGTAGGGGACGAGGCTACCTGGAATCAATTTTTGTGCTGATTTTTTAAGATTGTTAGAGACAATTAAATGGAATGCTTAATCTTCTGTGGTCCTGGCTTCTGGGTGTTTCTGCCTATCCCCTCCCCTCCGCCACCTCAGGCTTCAGCTCAGCTGGTTCTCCCTATTTCACCTTTGCCCTCCAAGGCAGCCTCTCCCCATGTGGTCCCCTCCCCCTCCTCAGAGCCCAGCCTGTCTTGGGAACTAAAGCCAGACCCCCACTAGGAGACCTGGCAGAGTCTTGGTGACAAGAGTAAGGATGGTAGGCAGCTCTTTCTGGACTTCTTGAACCTGCTATCTGGGGGCAGCCAGAAAGTGCTGGCAGGCTACAGAAGGAGCCAAAAGGCTAGTGCCCCCTCCTCTGACCTTGGGCCACCGAAGACAGGGCCTTGGCATCAGAAGACATGGCTAGACCTGGCCTGTAGAGGTCAGGACGGGCCAGCAGCTGTAGGGTCAGGTCCTGCTCTTGTACAAAAACCTCACCAAGGAAGTGGTATAGATGTAGCCAGCAGTGGGAGAGGAGAGCCCTGCCAGTGGCCACTTTATTTCCCCTTCTGTACACCCCCAGTCCCCAGGTCCAGGCAACATCTCAACTGGGTGCTTGAGCCTCACTCAAGTTGAGCCTCCGCAGCTGGCTGAGGCTGGCAAGCCGGAGTTTGAGTAGTGTCTCCTCTTGTGTCTGCAGCGTATGCGCCAGGACACGCAGGGATTCACTCTGCAGCACTGCGGTGGGCAGGGGAGGGAGGTGGATGGGCTGTCAGCCAGGTACCATCCCCTAAGTCTTCCTGCCCTAATGAGCCCCAGTGCTGGGGTGCCCGTGGGCACCATCCCACATTCCATCCTCCCCACCCCCTGCTGCTCTCTGGCTGTGCCTTCCAGCCACACACAAGGGCTTTTCAATCCGATCCCACTGCCTTACCCTCGGTTGCACCAGCATCCCACACCATCCATACCACTCAGGTAGACGGCCAGGACAGCAAGCGCCAGACAGATGAACACCAGCAGTGCGAGCAGCAGCAGGAAGCTCCCGCGGCTGTGCACAGGGCCACAGCCGGCCTGTGCGCACAGTGATGGTGGCAAGACCCCCAGCAGTTCATCCCATGGCCGTGCCTCCTCAGCCAGGTAGGGGTACAGTGAGCCTGTGGGGGAGTGTCAGGAGGGCAGTGGGTGTATCTGCTCTCCTCCCCACCCATACATCTGTCCCACACTCCTGTCCACTCACCTCCGCTATGCAGGTCGCTGATGGACTCCACCCTGTGCAGGCACACCTCCTGCACGTGGTTGGGAGCCAGTGATGCCCTGCTCCTCGGGCTCAGTGTAGGCACCATGGTATCTGCAGGGCCAATATGGAGCCGCCTCAGCCAGCTGGTCACTCCTCCCTCCTCCCCAGGTCATCTCAGGAAGCAGGGACTCTTGAAGGATGGTGACAGTGGAGCATTTGGCTCCAAATCACCTAAAACTGGCTCAGAAATAATTCTTGCTTTGGAGTCAGGGTGACCTCAGACCCCCTTAGGCCTGTTTAAATGCAAGAGGTCAACTAGACCTGCTCGTATTTGTTTCCTTCTAAGCTCCTCCAGGACTTGCAGGTTTCCTCTCCAGGTTCCTTTCTGTACCACTTGCCTGTCAGTTGGTCATACTGTGGTGGCTGATGTGTTGCTCTGAGGCTGGAGGCTATGCCACTGGTATTTCAGATACCAACAGGGTCACCCATGGTGGACAGCTGAGTAGTTTTAGTGAATAGTTGTTCAGAACTTCACCCACAGTACATGGAATTCAGTCCTGCCTCTTCTGGTACTGCTCTTCCCTGCAAACCCTGTGAGTTAGCTGCCAGGCCAGATCCAGGGCCTGATGGCGGCGCCGCCTCCACCCAGCCCAGAAGCAGCCCTGCTCTAGCCTTTGTGGTGCCTTTCCTGCCTGGCCTTGATGCTGCCTTCTTTAACATTATCAGCATGATGCTGCTGTACTAGGATGAACCCTGCTGTTTTCACCAGCAGCTTGGCAGGAGACAATCTTTCTTATCAGACTGCTTTACATGCCACTGAGATGTCTCCCTGCAGGCATTCCTCTGAGGCTGCCTGGACAGTTAGGGTGCTTCTAATTCCTTTTGGAAATAAACAACCCCCCCAAAAAAGGACATCCATCACCATGAAGTATATGGACAGCCATTAATATGAAAGTTTTTCCCAGTTTCCTGACAGTTATTAAAGACAGATGCCCAGAGGTAGACTTACTAGCTCAAAGAACAAGGATTTTTTAAAGCTGTTACCAAATCATCCTCCAGAATGGCTGTTCAACGGGGTGCAACATCATTAGCTTGAGGATCCCCATTGAAATAAATACTGTATTTGCTGATTTAAGAGATGAGAGATGAGAAAAGGCCTTTCTTGACTGGTTTGATTTGGCTTTCTTTGCCTGAGGAAATTGGCCATTAAATGGGTGACTCCCTGCTCAGAATTCATCCATTCACAGCCTGTGCCCATTTCATCTCTGAGGTGTGAATATTTTCTTATGACTTTAACTGCATTCCATCCCCCATAGAAATACTTGTTTTGTGATTTCTAAATAATTGATACTATTTTCTTCTGGATGTTCTTTGACTTGGTTATATTTGTCTTACCTTGGCCCCTTAAGAGTATCAGATGCCCAGCTGGAAGCTAATAACAAAGTATGTGTGTGGAAGCCACCTTCTGATGGGGAAAGGGTGGCAGGGGAAGCTCTGGACCCATCACCCTCAGGACAGTACCTTGACTTTCATGATTTGCTTGAAAATGTCCCCTTGAGCAAGTAAAACAGAAAGGTGGGTTGGAGGTGAAATTGAATCCCCTCTTAGCACTTTGCTGTGCTCTTCTCACGCTCTAAATTGAACATGGATTCTGTTTATTACTAGGAAAAGGCAGTAAATACTATTGTTAAGACCCCAAAAGAAGGCAGACATTCCCCCAGCCAGGGGCTGGGCCCTTCCTGTCCATGTTGAAAATGTGATAAGGCTGCATCAAGGGGAGTTGGCCAAACTGGGCTGTGGCCATGAGCCAGCGCCCTGGTAGCTGGTCTTGCATCCTGTACTGTACCTGAAGCTAGCTGCACACCTGGGTCTCTGCTATGCTGAGGTTCCTCAGCCTCCATACCTCTTGCTTGCAGCGGAGCAATTAGGTGAATGGCTGCCAAGGTCTTGACTACCTAAGTCAGTCTGGCTAGGTCAAGAGACCCTGACCCTCAGCCACTGGGGACACTGAGCCCCACGTTGGGGGAGGCCAGAGGCCTGTCCACTCCTAGTCCTCTGGCCAGATACCCACCTCCAGTCCCAGCTTCCTCCCTGAAGAGTGAGCTGAACTGGCCAGGCAGCTGCCCAGATGCCCACACCCTCCTTGGGCAGTTTCCTTTCACCCTGCCCCCTGCTGTTCACAGCAGAGGAAAATATGACAGGGCAAGCCTCTCCAAGCATATAGGGCAGGTCCCTTTTCCCTGGAGCTGGAACAGGATGCTGATGACCAGCCAAAGAAGTGAGGTATCTATGGTCCATGGGGTCACAGATCTGGGATCCCCCCCCCACCTTGGGGTCATCCTCTCCTACCTTCTTGCACTTCCTCAGGCATGGCGGATAGTGGGCTGTCAGGGCCAGTGACATTGCCCCATAGCAGAACCGGACAGAGGCAGCAGGAGCTCCTCTGAGAGCCAGGAGAATGCCTGGCCACCTCCCATTCTGGGCCTAAAATAGGTCTGAGCTCAGCCCACTGGGCTATATTTAGAGGGGGCTGCTCTCAGCCCTGGAAGGGGGTAGAGTGACCCACGTGGGCCAGCCTGGACTGTCTACCCAAGGGCACGCCCCCACTAGTGCATGTGCTCAGGGTCCTACTTGGGAACCATACCACCCTGTAAGTATGCAGGACTCTGGATCTCCAGGCCAGCCACCTCACGCTCAGCTTCCAGCAGTACACCACATGGCAGTCAAGACATGCAAGGATACCTTGTCCTCTCCACCTCTGCAGACCCCCTCCACAGCCCTGCTGGCCTCTGCTCTCAGCAAATGGATGCTGCTGGCACTGTAACCAGAGCTCAGTGCCATGAGGACTTGGCCCAGAGAGCACAAAGGAGTAAAGACACTTCCCCACGCACACAACACATTAACTTATACAGGGCAGTGGGCCAACTGATGAAGTTATTACTAAGCTTAGAACTTTGAGTAGAAGATTGCCCTTCTTTGGCCTCGGATTCCTCATCTATAAAACGAGTAGCAGTGGTTCTTCATAGCAGGGTCCATGTGAGAGCAGAGATGCATCCATGTGTCTCAAACAGGATGCAGAGCTCAGGGCCTCCTTCCCTTCTGTCTGCAGGTGCAGACAGGTTACATGGTTATGTGAAGATGCAGGCACATGCTTACCCTTGAAGTGTGAAAAGGTAGTCCATTTGTGGTCCCCATTATCTCCCATCCTCTGCCTTGTGACCTCATGTCCCTCTTTCCCAACTGCGCCAAAGCAAGGCTCTGCTCATGACGTCCCAAATCTTTTACTCCACTGCCACGTTTCCTTGATGTCCCTCAAAAACTGCAAGCTTGTTTCCCCATCAGGGCCTTTGCACTGGCTGATCCCTCCTCCTGGAACGGTTCTGCCCCCAGATACTGCCATGGCTCAAATGTCATCCCTTCAGTGAGGCCTTCTGCTCACATTCTTTTCTACATCAACCAGTTTTATTTTTTTCATTAGTAGTTGGCTCTGAAATTACTCAAAATGTACCCCCCAAATGCCCTACAGACACCCCTTGGTCACATGGAAACCAACAAACTGAGGCCCTGAGACTGCTAGGAAGGTGCCCAAGGCCACATAGCAAGTCCTAGTACTAGCGGCTGCCCACTGCTGGCAGTTCCAGCTTGGGCTGATAGTTTATTGCGTTACTTTAGAAAAGTTGGCCTGCCCCACCCCTGCCCCCAGCAGCCCGGCCTGTTCACAGTTTTCTGCTCACTGCCCAAGAAGGGGGTCCCTCCCCCAGGATGGGCACTCTGGGCATCTCCCTGGCTCCGGTATTTGCTCTGGAGCTTCGCCTCTCTGCCCTCTCCCTACTGGCTGACCGCCATGACTGGCCTGGGCCGCCCCTTCCGGGGCTACATTCAAGGGTTATCTGTTAATAAATAAGCCGGCGCGGGCTGCCCCTAGGCCCAGGGCCTGTCAGTTGGTGTCTCTGTTGGCCAGGGTCTGCAGTGTGCCTGGCCCTGACGCCTTCGTCACTGCGTCCCGGGGTCTGCCCTTCCCTCTCCCGCCCGTCATCTCCTGCCCGATCCCCGGCTGGGGAGGGCCTGGTCACCAATGCGTAGCACTGCGCGGGCCCCGCTCAGCGCGCGGCTCGGGGGCATGCGTCCGCCGATTGCGGCCCTTCCTCCGTTGTTCAGGGAGTGGTGGGCGCGGCGCGGGTGGCGGGCGACACATGCGCAAGGAGTTCGCGCCGCCGCCGCCGCCGCCGGGCTCCACCAGCTGCAGGAAGTCCCGGTACCAGAGCTTGGGGCCCAGTGGTGCAGCGGGGGCAGCCTCCTCGATCCGCGCCAGTCGCTCGGCCTGCGCAGCGTTCAGCACGTGCAGCGCCAGGCGACGCAGCGGCTGCGAAAAGCCGTGCTCGACAGCGGCGCACAAGTACACGCCCGAGTCCCCGCGCCGCAGCCCGCGCAGCAGCAGCCCCTGTGCGGTGCGCTCGGCGCGTCCCTCTGCTGGCACCTGCAGGCGGGGCTGGCGTGAGGTTGGGACCTACAAGGGGACTGACTCCCTGGCCTAAGCAAGGGACGACGGAGAGGCAAAGGGGACAGCGGGTGACAAGTGGGAAAAGGGGTGCTTGAGGGTGCTCACTTAAAGATTGGATGCATCCGGGCCAGTGGTCTGCAAGTGTGGAGACCCGAAAGGGGCGGGGTTCACCTGAATGTAGGAGTTGGGACAGAGATCTCAATGGGCGGGGCTTCTTCTGGATGTGGTGGTGGGGCTCAGGAGCCAAAGTTGGATGGGATAGTCCCTCATTTGGGCGTGGGGTGCAGGTAAGAGCCCAAACTGGAAGGGCCTGGTAGGATGGGGCCTCACCTAGATGTGAGGAGTAAGTCAAGGGCCTCCTTTGGCAGGGCGGGGCCTCTCCTAAATGTGGAGGTGAGACAGGGGCCTGGTTGAGAGGGATGGAGCCTATTCACCTGAGTTCGGGCCTGCTCCCCTACACGCTGGAAGGTCCAGTTCACGCGCGCCTGCAGAGAGCGGGGCTCACATTCCAGGAAGGCGCTGCCACCCTCCACACCAAACACCTTCCTCTCCAGTAGCGTGGGGCGGGACATGTCTGGAGGCGAGGGGAATGTCAGATTCAGGCTAGGGGCAGGGCGTCTTCTTGGGCTGAGGTGTGGAGGCAGGTAGGGCAGTCACCTCCAGAGCACAGCGTGCTGGGGTCACCGTTCCTGACATCTTGTCGCCGGAACCGCCTGGGAGGAACGTTGAAGCCTCAGTGAGCCCTTCTTCCACCTTGGTAGTGAAGGACCCTGGGGCACCCTCCCAGCAGCCTGCCCTTAGCCTCGCCCACCTCTTGACACTGGGCTGGAAGCGTGTGCATGCGGCCCCATCCCAGGCGCAGTATGGGTCACGCGCCAGGCAGCATTCGGCACAGGCGCGGCCATGGGCAGCGCATCGGTGCAGCGCGATCTGGGCCACCGCGCTCCGTGAGGCTACATACAGCTGATGCTGGGAGACAGGGGACTCCAGGGTGACCAAGGGTGGCCCCATGCCCACCTCACACTGGTCAGGGATCCCTTCTCCCACTTGACAGACAGGAACACTGAGGTCTCATTCAGGTCACATGGTCTAGCCAAGGCAGAACCTACACTAGAACCCGAGGCTGAGAACGATCAGGGGGAACATGGGGTTGGGGTGCTCATGCGATTGGTCCATCCCACTCCTTCAACATTCTGGTCACTCACCCTCTTCGAGGAGATCTGCATGCTGGTGACAGCAGCTGAATCCTGAGAGGGAGGAATCATGGTGGTGGGGGTCAAGGCTTAGTGGGATGGGGGGGACTCAGGGAAATGAGGAAGTAGCCTCACCTCAAATACATTCAGCTCCTCTAGGAGCAGCCCCTCGGAGCTAGGCCGGCTGCCCTTGGGGACAGAGATTACCTTCAGCACCATGCCAGTGTCTGCAGGGATGAGAAGGGATGAATGCCTTCCTGATGTTCCCTGACAGCCAGGGCTGGGGTCTCCTTCACTTTGAGGCCTCCACCCCCACCAGGGTTGAGTTTGTTGAAACAATCAGGGCAGCATTCAGGAGGAGGTGATGGGAACACAGCCCAGCCAAAGATGTGGAGGTGGGATGGAGCAGGGAGAGTTTCTATTACCAGGCCACAGAGGCTGCATGGGGTCCTGTGGATGGTCACAGAGGCACTAACCTGTGCCAATGAAGAGGACATCGTAGTGTCCATCAGCAGCTGCTACTCGGTCAGCAACGATTTGGGTGAAAGTGTACCCAGCGCCCACTTGCAGGAAAAGAGGGCGCCCCCCCATGGGCAGAACAGAATTGTACATGAGGGGATGGTTGCGGGCAAACTGGATGACATCATCGGGAAAGTCCTTGGTGGAACTGAAGGTGCCAAATGTCTTGCTAGGGCACTGGGGAGAGGGCACAACAGAGGTGTGGGTGTAGGAGCTTGGTAGGGAGCCCCCTACGGCGGCCTCTGACAACCTGGATGGCAGGAGACAGAGCCCTGCCCTGGGAATCAGAGAGGAGACCTGGTCTTGCCCTAAGGAGTCTTGAGCAGGGAAAACATGGTCTCTCTTGAGGAACCCTGTCTGGTGGTAATAACTTTTTCCCATTCATAACAAATAGCAAAGAAACGAAAAGAAGGGAAGGGCAGGAAGAAAGGAAGAAAGCACATTCACCAAGAAGACCCCAGGCCAGCTGAGTTTCTCCAGCCCTGAGGCTCTGAAGTGGGTTGTGAAAGGAGTCCCCAGGCTACACACCATGCCAGGCCGCGGGTAAGGGACGCGGCCCTGGTAAGACACCCACTGGTGCATGGGCCCCTCTTTGTGTGCGAAAGGTCCCAGGAAGGCCCGGCGTATGTCATTCATGCTGTACACGCACACTGCGGAGCCCTGGAAGATGCCACTGAAGATGAAGATAAGGAAGGAGTGAGGGAGTGCCCTCCGGGAGCCCAGCTGGTCCCTCTTGGGGTATCCTCTCCTTTCCCCAACCTAACCTGGACGTGGAAAAAACAGCGTAGAGCAGCGGGTTTCGGGGGTCTCTCGAGGGCAGTAGGAACACATCCTCTGTAGGGATGGAGCCTGGCTGGGAGAGAAGCTCCCGGGGTGCACCCCAGTTCCCCTTCCCCACCTCACCCCCTACTGCTGGCACTTACGAATCTGATCAAAGTGGGTGTCGCCCTCAACGCCTAGCACCGAGCACACCAGCCGTGCCTTCAGGAACGTTGTCCACTTGCTGACCAGGCTGCGCTGGCCGCCTACATCATTCTGCCAAGGGCAAAGAGGAGATGGGGGTGGTCTGAGAGAGCAAAAGGACAGCATGAGGTAGCCTGGTGTGTCCCAGAGACTCCTTACCCGGCAGATCTGGCCGACGCGGGACACCGACAGGCGTCCTAATGCCGGAGCTGCCTCCACCGCCATCTCACGGAAGAAGAAATAGATCTTGTCGTCGTCTGGATTCTCGCTCTCCGGGATCCAAAAGACCTTAACAAACTTGGGTTCTGGCCGCAGTAGGAGGTGCGGAGTCAGTGGATTCCTGGTCTAGCCAACCACCCACCCCACTGTCTTGATACTGGACCCACGCTCTTCCTTTCCTCTCCCCGGCGCCAGCTGGAGGCCCCGGGATAAGGTCGGACGGACAAACCAGGCTTCAGGCCTGAGTTCAGTTGCGGCTCGATGCGCGCGGATCAAATCCAAAGGGGCAGGGCTTGCAGGCAAGGAAGCCGCCACAAGAGGGCAGCAGAGACCATGAGAAAGGTCCCAGGGTTCCTCTCCGGGCTCCGGGAAGGGAACCCTGGGAGGCCTCTGACCTCGCCCTTCACTGTTACCCAGGCTTGTGGACAGGGAAGAAGGCAGATGGTGAATCTGGTTTGTTCTTCATTTGTGAATCCTCTTCCCTACCAAGAAGCAGATGCTCCACCCCTGGTGCAAACCGGTCTCCTGAGTCCTATATTGCTCTTATAATAAATTACCCTGACCCCTGACAGTCCTAACTCCTTACCACTTTTCTCCCTCCATGAACCTGTTTCTTGGTGTGTTCCTGCCTCAGGGCCTTTGTACTAGCTGTTCCCTCTGCCTGCAAAGCTCTTCCCTCAATCCTGCTGGCTGGCTGTCTCACTCTGGGAATTAGTTAATATCTCCCTTCAACAAAGCGGACTCCTCCCCTTCACCAGTCTCCTTTTCCTTCCTCTCTGTTCTCTCCTTGGCCCCATAGCCATTGGAATTGATCTTATCATGTATTTGTTCTTCAGTCTGTGAACTCAAAGAGGGCACCAGCCATACCTGTCTTGTCTGCCCCTGTGCTCCCAGCACCTGGCACTAGGCTTGGCACACAGTAGGTGCTCAGTGAGACCTGGCTCTGCCCACTGCTCACTCACTTCATGGGCCTTGCTTGGAATCCGCCCTGTGTGGGGATGAGGGCCCCTTCTTGCCTGGCCCACCAGCCTCTCACCGTTGAGCCATCGGGAGTCGTGTGGCTCTGTGCGGAGACTCGGCCGCCGGCCCAGGCTGCGGAAGATGGTAAAGTCCCGGCCCATGAGGTCTGCGGCCACCCCTGAGTACAGCTCCTGCCCTGTGGATAGGGTAAGGACTGCTCAGCTAAGCTGAGGGTACTTGGAGTGGGAGGGCATGGGCAGCTCCTGGGCTTCTGGGGGAGTCATGAGGCTATGGGGGATCTCCAGGGCTTTAGGGTGGATCTTAGGACTGTATGAGGTTCTAGAGTCTCTGAGAGTTCAAGGAGCTCTGTTGGGGGTCCCAGCCTTTGGACTCACCCACCAGCACGGAGGCAGCCCGATGCTTTGGGTCATAAGGACTCTTCCCCTTGCCATCCTCTAGGCTTTGAAGGTCCAGGCGAAGCATGGGCTCCTAGGAGAAGGGGGAGGCTTGCTACTGCCAGGCCCTTCCTTCTCTCCCTCCCTCCTTTGCCTAGGTCAGCCCTTACCTCCAGCCGGTGGCCCACCTCCACAAATGCACAGGTGGGGTGGAAGGCCCCCGTTCCACAGACCAGCAAGTGAGTGTGGTTGTAAACATGTAGCAACTTCACGAAGTTCATGCACTCAGTCTAGTGGGCAGGCAGGGGCAGTGAGGCCTCCTCTCCAGGGAGGTTGGAGTCCTAGCTCACCAGTGGCACCCCCATCCCTTCCTCTTTTCTAAATCAGCCCAAACAAGCACCAGTATGGGTCACAGGAACCCAGGTGCCCTTAGTGGCCAGTCCAGCCCACTCTTCACCAGGGTGGGTACATGGGGATCATAGCGCTGCACAGCCCCCTCCCGTGATTCAGAGGCCTCCAAGGAGAATCACATGAGCCCCTACCCTGACTCACCATCTCGAGACCTCAACCACCTCAACCTCTGTGCCCTCAACCTAGTCAGAACAGGCAGGCTTCTGTCTTAGCACTGCCTGTCTATGGGGTGAGGGGCTGACTCTTCCCACTCCCACCCTGGGCAGCCAGCACTCACAGCAATGTCCTTCCCCGCCCAGTTGCACTCCTCTCGCCATTCCACAGGGGCCGGCCAGGCCAGCTATGGGAGTGGGAGAGCACAAGAAGTCAGGGTCTCTCCGCTTGGGACCCACAGTCTCCCCCACCCCTCTCTCTGGGCAGTCTGGAGGGGGGTCCCTGGGCTCTGCCCTCAGCACCAAGGCTGGGGGGCCTTGGTACCTTCTTGGCCCGTTTGCTGATGTTGTCCAGGCTGAGGGAGGCCACATGGTTCTCAGCACCTACAAACAGGCGTCCACGCTCCTCATCCACCAGAAGTGCTTCATAGCAGCAGGTCCGTTCCAGCCGGAAGGTCCGGAGACCATGCCGGGCCTGGAGCTCTGCAGGGTGGGGGCACCACTGAGGATTCACAGCCCCACTGGAAATCTCCCCTAAGGCCTGCTTGGGTATCTCTATCACAGGCCAGGGTTGTACATGTGACTTGGCTAACACACATGTGAGTTTACACACGCAAAGACAAGCCCACCCAGGTGCGTGTGCATAGCTGCTAGGGTGGGCGGCACAGCCCCCAGGAAGGGGAAGCAAGTTGAACTTGAGCATGCACAGACAAGCAGTGTCTCCAGGCGGGCGGGCGCACTGGGAGGCCAGGCTTGTGGACGCCAGGGTTCTGGGGGAGGCTGGGCATGTAGGGACAGCCAGAACCCCAACCCCAAAGTCAAACTGAGGGTTCCCTCCCTGCCACACCACCATCAGCCTGTGCTCAGCAGAACTGCCTGCCAGATAGCACTGCCTAGTAACCACCATCCTGTGCAATGGGGAGTGAGAAGAGGGTGTGATGGCCCCCACACCTCAACTTCATTGTGGTCTCTGTGGCAGGGGCGTAGTCTGATTGGGGGTAAGGGGTGGATCAGAGACAGTCTGTTGCTATGGGGACAGAAGGGCTCTTTCTGTGAAAGCGTGAGGAGACTGTGAGCAGAGAGGTTGGGGGCCTGAGACCAGGACAGGGTTAACTGACCTGCGTCTCCCCACACCAGCCTGGAACCCAGTTCCGTGACAGGCATACAAACACAGCACCCCCACATTCTCACTGGGTCCCTTTCCTGCTCAGCCTGAGCCGAGCCCTCCCACCCTCCAGGTGCACCTACCTTGGAAGGAGAGCCGCAGGCGTGGGGTGCTAGGGGCAGCAACCCCCAGCGCTGCGGCCCAGAGCAGGGCCAAGCCGGGGATCATGGCGGCGGCCGGGGCCCGCCCCATCCCGGTGGCAGCTCAAGGCGCTCAGGGTTCAGCAGGCGTGTGCAGAGGAGCCTTGAGCTGCCCTGGATTCTGCCCCGGGAATCTGGAAGGGAAGGAGTCAGCAGCCAGCTCCAGTGCAGTAGGCGAGGGGGGAGTCCCCAGGGATCAGATTACAGCCCCTAGGGGCGCATGGCTGGGGGGTCACATTCCACTTCCGAGCCCTCCCCTAGGAGGGTGCACGGCCTGGCCACAATCACAGACACACCCACACTGGGCACACCCTCGAGGTCAGAGGTCACCCCCACACAGGCAGGCGCCCGCCCCACGTCACCCTCCCCAACCACCCCCCTCCCCTAGACACACGCACAAACATTGATTCACAAACACTGCGTGCCCACTTCATGCCAGCCTGGGACTAGGAGTGGAGACACTGGGGGACGCAGACAATGACCCTGTGAGGGAAGGGGCAGAACATCAAAAAGAATTCAGATTGGTGCAGTCATTGCAGACACCAAATGCAAGGAGCAAAACAACCCAGTGATAGGAGTGACAGTGACAGGAGGGGGTCAGGCCTCTGCCTCCAGGAGGTAGCTGTGCACAGAGAAACACACAGGTACCTTCAGGTTTGGGGCCAGGGTGTGGATGTCTGTGAGTGTGAGTGTTTCTGTATGTCCTTTGTGTATCTGTATGTGTACATGCATGCATACACATATGCATGTCCATATGTGCACTGTGGGGTAGACAGGTATATGCTGTATATACACATGTGCATAAATATGTGTACATGTCCACATGTGTGGCACATGCCTGTCTAGGCAAGTGTACCTGTGTGTGTATACTGTATGGTATGTGTATGTTGTGCTACCCAAGTGTGTACATATATGTGTGCCATGCAGGTATGCATGCATATGTATGCATATCTGTGGGCATGCATGTGAGCAAATACAGTTGCAGCACCAGCAGCATCGCCCACCATGCCCCTCAAATCAGAGACACAGGCGAAACCCATTTCTCAGAGGGATGTCTGAGGCCCAGGTCACTAAGAGCCTGGGTCTCTGGGTCTGGGCAGGAGCCTCAGCCTCTGACTTGGGACTGCCCCACAGGCTGGTCCAGCTCCCCCAGCCCCCAGCTTGACCTTTCCCTCTCAGTCCCCCAGAGAGAGCGGAAGGGGATGATCACACATAGAGATTTTGTGAGGTCAGGCCTCAGACTAAGAGGAACCCAGTAAAGAAAGCCAAGGGCCTGAGATGGCCTCTCATCTCTGATCTCAGTTGAACTGCCCCTCCCTTCCCTCTCTGAGCCTCTAGTCTCCCTAAGTCTCTCCCTCCCCCTTATCACCTCTCCTTCCTTAGTCTCCCTTAAGGTTTAGCCATCTCTGAGCCCTGCACCTCTCTGCGTCTGGGCCCTTCCCTGGACCCCTCAGATGATGGCTATAATGCCTGCCCTCCTCTCCAGTAGCTGGCAGGGCAGGTGCTGGACACAGGAGCCCTGGGGTGAGCAAGGTCCTGGGGTAGAATCACATCACGAAAGTGGCACAGTGTCTAGGGAAGGTCCCAGACCCCTCCACCCATATCCCTGCCCAGGTCTGGGGTCCCTCGCATGCCAAGACACCCCCCCCTCCCTCGCTAACACTTGCCGCTGCCTCTTCCTGGCCGGTGAGGTCGCGATGATGCCTTGAAACACCAATTGCCTCCCCACACTCCAACAACTCCAGCATCAGCACCTGCCCACCCCAGCCCCTTCCTGCCCTGGGGAAGGGGAGAAGCCTAGGGGCCACAGGGCACCCTCCAACGGCTCCTTTAAGACGCAGCCCCCGCCCCCATCAGCCCAGCTGCCACTTACTCCACAAGCCATAAAGTTTATGGGTTACTGGGCGGATCAGGTGACCAGGCAGGCGCCCGGGACGGCTAGAGACAGCGGAGCAGCAGAGTGAGCGCCAGCCAACGGGCACATGGAGAGAGAATGGGTAGAGATGACTCCTCCCCTGACAGGCTCAAGGCAGAAGGGTACCCAGGCAGCAGTCGCTAGAAGAGGGGTGGCCAGTCAAGGCGAAGGAGGAAGAAGCAACAGAGAGACCTCCCCCAGCCCCAGTGGCTCTGCACAGCAGGCAGAGGGCACAGCCCAGTCAGGGACTCCAGGTTTCAGTTTCTCACCTGTCCCTCCACAGCTGGAGAGCTGGGGACAAGAGTAATGGGATATACCTGCCAACTCAGCTCCTAGGAGCCGGCTGAGATGGGATGGGAGGGCTGTAAGTAGGGAAGGGGATGATTCTCAACTAGAGGGCTGATGGCCCCCTGGACCCTGGCTTCAGTCCTTCTTTGTCACTGAGATAATTTCTTGATGTTTCTGCCACCCAGCCAGCAGTGGCAGCAGTGACAGCTGCAGGGGGAGTGGGAGGGGGGCTGGGGGGATGGAGAAGGGAGAGCCAGAGAGGGGCAAGCAGAAGTACAAAGCTCACTTCTGCGCTGCAGGGTGTAGGCCCACCAAGAGTCCCCCATCCGAGGTGGAAAGTAGAATTGTCCCCGCTAAGCACAGAGCCAGGGACCAGAGGGGGCTTTAGAGATACAACTTTGGCACCTCAGTTGGGAAGGGACTAGGGTCCTGTTCTGAACTTGGCTCTGGAGGACACAGCCTGTTTGGACTGTGAGGGACACTTCTTTGGAAGTGTGGAATGTTGACAACGGCAGAGGGAGGCCCTTGGGTCCATCTGGATGAACATGCAAGGGCTTCAACCCCTCAGTCTCCCCAAAAGGCATCTTCCTGCCACCTCCCGAAAGCTGATCATCAGCACTTCAGGTGTCATGGATGCTGTTGACACCTCAAGAGAGTGCGGTTCTGTTGTCCACCCCCGGGGTGCCATCCAGCCAGGCAGGGACAGGGCAGAAGGGAGACTCAACTCCAAGCCCCTTGGATCAGAAGAGTCTGCCCAGCCAGTGCAGGGCCATGCCCAACCACTCCTCCTTCCAGATCTGGTGCTCCTGGGTTGGCCTGGCTGGCTGGCTCTGGGAAGCAGGCAAAAGGCCAGCAGAAGGGGCAGGGGCCTTTACGAGGGCGAATGGAGGGATGCAACCTTGCTTGTGCCCTGGCCTTCCCAGATGTGGCCTCTTCCTGCTTCAGGGCTAGCTGTCTCTTGGACCTGGGCAGCCTCGCCTGGCCCATGCAAGCAAACAAAATTCTTTGGCTGTTTACAATTTTCCACCCAAGCAGCCAAGATCAGCAAGTGCCTTCGAAGCTTCCATCCCCCCACCCCACTGTGCCCCCTGCTTGCCTCCACTCCCTTTAGTTCTGCAGGCCCAGGGGCCCAGCCTCTGTTTCATCATCACCACCACCCACCAGCCCTGAGTCCATAATGGGAAATGAGACCAGGACCCCCCCATCATCTTTCTAACACCCTGGAACTCAATCCCCAGCCAAAGGCCCACCTGGGCCCTGTACACTGTCTTCCTTCCTCCAGACGTGTCCCCTGCCCTGAGGAGCAAGGGAAGTCCTCCCAGGTGTGGGAGCTCAAGTTGTCCCCCTCCCCACAAGTTCTCCTTTCTGCTCCCTAGCCCCAGGTCTAGGCCCTGACATCCAATTGTATGCCATGCCATGGTGGGGGCTTTCCTAGAGATGGTACTCCAGAAGAGGGTCATTGGCTCTGTGACTGTTGGTCACACTGGGGGCTCTGGAAGTCCCTGAGGATTCTGGAATCAAGCAGCCTGGGCCTGGGTCTCAACAGACTGGGAAAAACCAGGAGGAGGAAGCTGGGGTCCTGCCTGCACCCCTGCCCTAGGGCTACTCCAGGCTCCTGGGCATCCATGGGCAGAGGCCTGCCTGGGTTCTTGCCCTTGGGGCTACCTGTCAGTTGCACCGCCTGCCAAGACCTTGATTTCTTCTTTTGGAAATAACTGAATTGTATTGCAGCACTTGCATCCCACCCCTCCTCGTCAGCTGGCCTGTCCCCCTGCCCCCTGCCTGGACTCTGGGTGATGCAGCTGGGGCAGAACACCCATCTGAGGAAGGCTGCGCCAGCCCTCTGGATGCCCAGCCTGGGCTGGGTCAGGCTTTTGGCTTCCCACTCACATCTGCTTTAACCATTAAGCTGGTGGCTCCAACATCACATTTCCCAGTGTGGACCACGTGGGCACCAGGACATTCTACCCTGAGGACTTAGGCATGGTGAGGGGGTGGGCGGGAAACAGGCCCTAGAAAGTTCCCAGTCACCCCCAGGCATCACCTAAGGTCTAACTTCCCTGACTCCCTACTACCCACTCTGGGGATGGGGGGGCTCTCCTGGGGAAGGGTCTTTCAGGGCACTTCCCCCATCTACCCCCCTAGGGGACCCCTGGCCCACCTTTTTGACAAGATCAGCCCCTCTCCTCCTTGCCTGCTCCCCTTCCCTTCTGAGGGCTAGTCAGAGCAGAGGTGGAGGGGCTGAGGGAGGGGCCACTAGGAACCCGGGGCCTCAGGCTGCAACCCTCCCCCCACCCCGCTCCGCCTCCTGCACATTCCTCCCAGGCTGAGGTCAGCCCCTCTGGGAGGGGGGAGTTACCCCCACCAGCCACATCACAGCTCTTAGCTTACTCCTGTTTTCTTCATTGCCCAGCAGGGTGGAGCGGGAGGAGAGGGGGCTGGAGGCGGGGCGTCCCTTTCCAAAGCCAGCCAGGGAGAGAGGGTGCCGGGAAAGCTGCTAAGTGGGAGCCCCCCTCACCACCATCCCCGCGGCTCTACACTCATTAACATACATTAATATAAAGGCTGCATTCCCTTCTGCTGGGGAAGAGCATCCCAAGAGTGCTGGTTGGGGGCTCTGGATGGCATTGGTGGTGGAGGGGGTCCCCAGAGCCTGTGCTAGGGATCAGCCCCCTTCGGTAGCCCAGAGAGGGGTGGGGCTGAATCCTGACACTGCTGCTCATCAGCAGTCCCTGGAGGGCAACTGACCCTCTCAGACCCTCTCCTTGCTCTCCCTGCAGCTATTGGCAGGCAGCTCTGGGACACAGTCAGGATGCCCCAGGTGGGCACTCTTGTTGCGTTCTCAGCTCTGGGCAGCCTAGAGCTCCAGACTTACAAGA